GGCTTGTGAGTATCCCCATAACCTGCCCGGGGCCTCTCACCACGGGTTACTCTGGAATAGGAGAGAGACCACCCCCGATTGAGAAGTTTGGTTCCAGTGCCAATGCCGTGTGTGGAGGTGAGACCAACTATATCTAGTCGATACCTTTCTACCTCCTCCACCAACTCCGCCTCTTTGCCCCCCAGTTACATGAAATTCCACGTCTTAAAAGCTAGTGTCCATTGCCAAGGTCCTGTCTGGCTGAGACCATGCCTCTCCCTGCCATACTGGCATCATACTCACCCCTTTCTCTTCATCCTGGATGCCGCGGTTGTCCAGGCGAGTACGGTTCTGGCCCACGCGACGGCCGCGTGTTGCGGGGAGGGCGGCAATGTGACCATGGAGGTCGTGGCCGTGGTGGAGCAGGGAGACGAGCCGGATGAGTCGTGGATGGATACGCTGTGCTCCGAAAATCCTGATTTATCCGGCGAGCAGTGGGGCAATATGCGTGAACTGATCCGGGAATTCTCGGACATTTTAGTCAGGGCAAATATGACATAGGTCGCACGTCCGTGATGCAGCAGAACATTTATATGGGTAACGCTGCTCCTATATGCCAAAATTCATACAGACTCAATCCCAAGGAGAAGGACCATGTTCGCCAGGCAGTCGATGAGATGTTGGCCGTCGATATCATCCTTCCACCAGTCCGTGGGGAGCTCCCATTGTTCTTGTTAAGAAACATGATGGGAGTTTGCGATTTTATGTAGATTTCTGCAAGTGAAACAAAGTCTCTGAAGAGAAAGCTGTCTCTGGTGTGGACCAATCAGTTTCAAGGACAATGCATATATTATCAGAGTATGTTTTTTTTGCATTCTGGCCACAAGCATTGTGGTTAATGCAGACATGATTCCTTGTAAAAGGTTTCAGTTTGGTGTTTTAACATCTTAACACCTGTTTTGTTGCCAGAAAAAAGGGGAAAAACCTATTATCATATTTTGGTACTGGCAAAGTGTAGAGAGGGTCATCACTTACGGGAGTCGTGTATTGTCCCCCGCAGAGCAGCGTCATTGTGTGACGCGCCGCAAATTATTGGCAATTGTAAATCTTGTACAGCAATACCGTCCGTACCTTTACGGTAGACAGTTTGTTGTACGCACAGATCACGCGGCTCAAAAATATGCGCTACAAGTTGACCAGCCGTCCGGCCAGCTCTCCCGATGGTAGGAAATTTTACGGGATTATTTCTTTACAGTCACCTACAGAAAGGATACACGCCACTGTAACGGAGACGCGTTGTCGCGATTGCCACCAAAGAGCCAGTGTGCGTGTTTGATGGGTGCCGGCCGTTGTAAACCTGCGGGCGCATGATTGCCGTGCACAGTCATGGCGTCGGTTGACGCTCCACCACCCACAGCATATGTTGCTTGCGATAACACAATTGGTCTCACGCACGCGGAATGGGAATGCCTCCAAGTGGAGGACGCCTCCCTGTTAAAATTGTGGCGTCACGTCGGAACGACGGGTGGTAGAAAGGGGCCAGTGGGAATGTCCCTCGTAGTCCTCGGTGATGGGTTGCTGATGAGGTGGGATGAAGAGGTGCAGCGTTACTCCATCGTTGTGCTGACTGCTCTGTGGTGTAGAGTCACACGGGCTGTCCATGTATGGTTGATGCACCTTGGGGTACAAAAAAACTTTATCAACTCTAAAGTGCGACTTCTTTTGGCCCGGGATGTCAGAGGATGTCCATTATATGCTTAAGGGTGTTGTTGAGTGCGCTCGCCAGAAGCCCCTGCCATGGTAGGCCTGGCCACCGTTGCAGTCATCAAGGTGTCCCGTGTTAACGAGCTCGTTGCTCACGACATTCCTTGGACCATTTCCCACCACTCCGAGGGGAAACAAATATTTGCTCGTCGGGGTGGAGTACCTGTCCCGGTGGCCGGTGGCACGGCCTTTGCCGGATCAGTTGGCTGCGTCCATCACGGATGCATTCCTACACGGGTATGTTTCGGATAAGGGGGCCTTGGAACGTCTTCTTACGGACCAGGGTCGGAATATTTCTTCTAAATTATTAAAGGTGTGTGACTCCCTGGGTACTAAAAAGATTCGGACGTCGCCATACCATCCCCAGACTGACGGGATGGTAGAGTGCTTGCACAGGACTCTCACGTCCATGCTGTGCCAACAGGTCAACGAGGCGCAGTCCATTGGGGTTTACATGTTCCGGGTGTTCTCGCTGCGTACAGAATGGCCCCTCACGCCTCAACCAGGTTTTCCCCCTTTTTCCTCATGTACGGGAGGGAATGTAACCCCCCCCCATGGAGGCTCAGTTGAACATGGATCTGGGCAAAAAGGTCGCTATGCCAACGCCCATGCACCTTACCCTCAAGCGACTAATGGAAGCAAGGGAGGCGTCTCGGGGTCATTCGGCCAAACAGCAAGCTGCTAATGAAAAGCTCGTGGGACTCCGTGCATCCGGAAACCCATGGAACCCTGGGAACAAGGCATGGCTGCATTGTCCCCAGGTGCCCCTGGGCACGTCCCCAAAATTGCACAGACCATGGCAGGGCCCGGTTGAGGTGATCGAGATCAGGGGACCACAGTGCGTGCGAATCCAGGTCGGTCACAGGCGTTGGTATGTGCACCCGTCACGGCTGAAACCCAATTTCCACCTTGTGATGTCGCTTCATCCCCACTACCTGACGGCCGGGTGTCTGATGTGTCCGACGAGCCCGGGCGTACGGTCGCGGAGGGTGCGCCTCAGCGAGATTCTGTTCCTTTGTCTACAGGATCTCAGCACCTGACACCTGCGGAACCACCCGCGGCGCCGGCAGGCCAAGGGTGACGGAACGACTGCCACCCGCGTCTTCTTCCCCTTTACCTTCTTCCCGGGAGGGGCCGTGCCCATTAGGCCATTTACAAGTCGCCCTGTGGTCCCCAGGAAACCCATTCTTGTCCCGCTTTGGGGCCCGACGACGAGGACCCATTCCCAAACTGTTCGGTTTAAATAACCCGCCCCTTCCCATTCTATTTATTCCGACGCGAGCCGTGCTGTGGCTGTCGGTTGACCTGAGGTCCTTCCTTTGCTCGCGGGCTGCAGCACGCTGATGGTCGTCGGTATTGTCGTATCCCTGGGGGCCGGGTTTATTGCCATGCATTAGCGATTATTATCTATTCCGGTTATTTATTGTTCTTGTTATTTAAATTCGCGGGTGGGGTAATGGTTGTTGTTGTTGTGTTCGTTGTCCCGCTAAGCGAGGTATGGAGGTCAGCCGGGATGGCTGTTTTTCTTTTTTCCGAGGGGGAGGGGGGGGTGATGTAGTGACATGGAATGGGGCACATAGCGCTGGTTGCTGGCAGAGAAGGGGATCTTCTGTTGTAGCTGCCCTGTCTGCCAGCAGGTCATGTGATGAGCCGGAGAGAGGGATGTGGGGCAAAGGTGATAGAGGGGGCATGTGAGGTAAAGCCCGGGAACCTTCTAGTAGGTTCTAGAAGGGGGGCGTGGCCGAGGGTGGAGCAAGGCCACGCTGGGTGGATAAAAGGGGGACCCCGAGCAAGGTTCGGGGCTGTTGTTTCGAGTGGAACCGTCGTGCTGCTGGAGTCTTCGTCAAGGTCTTCACCTCCTCGGCGTTGTTGGTCAGCCAGCATGTTAGCTGTCCTGACCATAGTGTAGTTACTCCTTGTACCTGTGCAGACTATAATAAATAAAGTGCCTCCTACTATTAGTGTCTCTGAGTGACTCACTACACTATGAATAATACCATACAAAAAATTCCATGCAGCAGCACTCTCATCACATCACTGCAAACAACGTTCTACATCCAAACCAATCTGACTTGCACATCAACTATAGCGCTGAAACAGCCCTAATGCAGCAATCAGACTATGCAGTATGGAACATGGACAACTCCACACCCACTGCAATCATCATCCTTGACTTGACAGCAGCATTTGACACAATAGATCACACCATTCTCATAAACAGACTCAGTACTGACTTCGGCATCACAGACAGTTCTAAAAAAAATGCACCGCTACACTCACATTCAACAATGAAAATCAGCCCCCTTCGACATTACCCGTGGAGTCCCCAAGGGTTACATTCTTCAACCACATTTACCTTTACATCAAACCACTCTGCACCTTAATAACAAACCTTGTTCTCCAACATCACTCTACTGCAGATGAAATCAACATTTTACTCACAATCAAACCAGGATCCACTGACAACCTAAAAATTACCTCCACTAAATACTATCAAAACATGGCAAGCAAACAACTACCAAGAGAGGCATTAGAGTGACACCCAGAAGTAAGCACTAAAGACGAGGAACCTAAACCCAGATGTTCATGATTAGAGAAGGCCTTGATAATCAGTTGTGAAATGAATCATTTGGCGGGACCCCGGGGTCCCGCAAAAATCAGGTGAATAATTATTATTTTTCAGTCCGCCCACTCGTGCAGCAACGCGCCACCCGCCCAGACTCGCGCCAACAAGCGCCAGCAGGCGGCGATCAACACGATGGGCGCCACCCCACCGGCCAAATGCAAGCCCGGGCGTCTGCCGCAGTCGCGCCCTCCAGTCAGCCGTCAATCCTCAGCTTCTTTGCCAAGGCGAGCCCGCAGTGAATTTAACGTGTTTATGTAATTTTTCAACTTTTTACGAAACTTAATGCCCCCAGTAGCTCTCGACGAGGCCAATCGATTTACACTAGTTTTGTTGTCGGTAAGCCAAGACTCGTGTCGCTACGCGGTTTTTCCCACCCCGGGGCAGTGATGGGACCCCGGGGTCCCGCCAATTGCTTCAAATGTTTAAAAGTTGTAGTATCTGGTATTTCCTACAAATGTCACCCAAAGTAACTTTTGGCTTAAGAAAAAAATAGTGAATGCAATTGCCAATTTTAGGGGAATTGATAACTAATACACATGTCACAGCAACCTACAGTAAACTGATAAAAATAAACAGCCACGTACATATTTATGTAAATATTGGTCTATTATGCAGTTCACTGTAAACACACCTCTTTTAATGTTTCTTGACATTCTTTAAGCCTTGCAGCAATCTGGTAAGGAAAACAAATAAATGTACATTATTAAATTGAATTTATAATTGATCATTTCTAAGGGAAATAAAATTAGGTAAACATTGTGATTAAAGTGCACAAGTATGAACACAACATGCTATGTGTTGAATAGATATTTCAGATGCAAAACACATCAATACATGAAAATTATCTGAGCTAAACTAGGTTACTATGGTTTTTGTGGGATGTAATGAATATTTATTTGATATGAACAATGTTCTTTTTTCTAAATAAAAAATGTATGAAAGGAAAATTATTCAAATTTTACATTTCTCACCAACACAATTTTTTATACTTGTGTATTGAAACAGTTTCTAGTGAATAAAATAGTTGCCAACAGCTTTAATGCAATGAGCAGTGAACACATCAACAAAAAATACTTCTTAATTGTCAATGCAGAGACTCAAAGGCATGGATGAACACATTTATGAAAATATCATTTCCCTTTGTATGATGTAAAATAATCTGGTAATTTTTACCAAGAGTTATGCCAACACCCCACCAAACACGTTGTACACCACAAATTATACCACAATAATAATAAAAAATGTAGCCGACACATCCATGAATCCCATTTCCGCCACACACACACGCACAAAACCTGCACTCTGCACCACGCATTTTTTTAAAATACGTAAAATAGTAAAGGTACAGCTCTGCATTCACATGCTCATGTCACTACACTTTCCCGCTGCCCTAGTCTTCCACGCTGGTGACACTTTATCTCATAACATGTGATCTGCCATTCAAATCTGGCGTACCTAATGATACTGCTGGGTGGACATAGCGGAGGTGTTCAAGTAAATTGCTTGTTGTTTTAACTGCCACGCCGAGTGATCAAACTGGCAATCTGCGGATTGCTAACCATTGACTATGGCACCATCTCTCAAAACATGCTGAAAATAATTTCTCTGTCTCAAAATTATTTCGATACTGTCTCATAGGCACTCGAGAACGAGGAAATAAAGAGGAAATATGAATAGGAAATATCGAGTAGAATCAGGGGGACAAAAATAGAACACCTTAGCATAGACAGCAAGGCATTAGAACTGAAGAAGAAAGTGGAACAAGCAGTAGAAGCAACAATATCCTTAGTCGTAAAACTCAATAGAAAATGGATAACTGAGAAAACCTAGGAACTAGCACAGGAAATGAGAAAAATAAGACTAAAGATAATGGAATTGGATGAGATGGCGACTAAGTACAAAATGCTATGCAATGAGGCAAGGACATTGGCGGGAAAGGATTGGCAGGGATGGCTGGTAAAGCAATGTAGCGACATTGAATACTATGCTGGAGAATACAAGACTAGGGAGCTGTACAAACTAGTCAAGAGCACAAATAGGAAGTGACAATTAAGGCAAACGGCAATAAAAGGCAAGGACAGCAATATCTTAATGGACAACGAAGAGACAAAAAAGAGATGAACTGAGTACTGCAGCGAATTGTATTGGGATGAGGATCAAGAGAATAAAGAGCTGATGGATGAACTAAAACATATATCCCCACCACAAAGGGATAACGAAAATGAAAACATTGTTTGAAGAAGTAGAAAAGGATCTGAAGCTTTCGTGACTGCAGGAATCCATACTCTTTGGTTCTTTCAGTAAAATCACGTAGGTATAAAATAAAAGAAATTACGACGTTTCGATCGCAACACAAGCAATCATCATCAGGTGAGAAACTACAGAAAGAATTGTTTTGCTGAAGTGGGAGAGAGATGCCGTGGTAAGAGCTTATATAGGTGAGAAAGGGGAGAGGGGCAAGGGGGGGAGAGAGAATTGGGCGGGGTTGGAAGTGGGAGGCCCAGAGAGCTGGGATGTGGGGGGGAAGGTAACTCGGAAAATAGACTAGTTCCCGGGTTGTGGGGTAGGGGGAGGGGAGCGCTGCGTGGGCGCTAGGAGAGGGACATGAAGCTCGGCCTCCCACTTCCAGCCCCGCCCAATTCCCCCCGTCCAGCTTCACGTCCCTCTCCTAGCGTTCCACGCAGCGCTCCTCTACCCCACCCCCCCTCTCTCTCCCTCCCCTTGCCCCTCCCCCCTTTCTCACCTATATAACCTCTTACCACAGCCTTTCTCTCCCACTTCAGCAAAAAAAATATATTGCTGTGGTTTCCCACCTGATGATGATTGCTTGTGTTGCGATCGAAACGTCGTAATTTATATTATTTTATACCTACGTGACTTTACCGAAAGAACCAAAGAGTATGGATTCCTGCAGTCACGAAAGCTTCAAATCTAGATTGAACCGCCTCTATGGGGAGGGTTTTCACACATCTGTTAGAGCTTTTAACAGACTGAGAGACAAGAAGGCTCACCTGATCGAGTCGCTAACATTTCTGAAGAGATGCCGCGATAACAAGGTAATACCGATCACATTTACACTCACATCTGCTGCTCTCACTCTCCTAATGCTAAATGGATATTGTTTAAAGCTAATCTCAGAAAGAATAAGATGGCTCTGATTTGAACTTCATCATTTAGACATGACTCTCTTACAATCACACTTAAAATTAACAGATAAAATGTCCACTTCTAATTGGGACCATGTAGATAACATGACAGTCTCCTCTGCTAATTCAATGTCAACCAAATGTAAAGTTAACTTGATCGCTAAATTCAACCTCCTGTCGAAAAAGAAGCCAGAGCCACATGTTGAAAAGTTAGATGTTAACAAGATTGTCATCAATCAGAGTAACATCCCAATTTCCGACAGCCTAAAATCGGTACTAACTAAAGGGTTGAAATTTGCAGTCACCCCTAAACATATCCCAGTGGATGATATAATCGCCCAGGTCGACGTAGCCCTCAAAGGCTTGGGACACATCGCGACAGACGTTGCTAGACATGAAATTGCCACCATCATTAAAAAATGCTAAGAAACCCATTACTAACATCAGCAAAGACGAGTGCTCTGAACTCGCAAAATTGAAAAAGAGAGATGCCATAGTCATCCTCTCAGCAGACAAGGGAAATGCTACTGTCATCATGGATAAAAGCACATACAACAACAAAATCTAGGACCTTCTTAATGATGGCAGTTACACCAAAATCAACAAAGATCCTACTAACCGCCTGGCTACAAAAAACAACAATATCATTACCAGTTCTACTTCTCTAAGCGAACCTTTCAAACGGCTCGGCCTAAAACCTTCTGCTACTAGACAACCCAGATTCTATGGTCTTCCTAAAATCCATAAAGAAGGTACTCCATACTTTTTGGTTCTTTCGGTAAAGTCACATAGGTATAAAATAAATCACGACGTTTCGGGTGCAACACAAGCGACCATCATCAGGTGGGAAAGCATGGTCTGCTGCTGAGGCGGACTGTTAGACCGTACTTTCCCACCTGATGATGGACGCTTGAGCTGCACCCAAAACGTCGTGACTTATTTTATTTTATACCTACGTGACTTTACCAAAAGAGCCAAAGAGTATGGATTCCTGCAGTCATGGAAGCTTCAAATTAAGATTGAAGGTACTCCACTTCAGCCCATCGTTTCCACAATCAACTCACCTACCTACAAACTGGCCCGTTTTCTGTCTAACACCTAGCTTCCACTCATGGGCAAGACTACCTCAGCTGTACGGAACTCAGCTCACTTGGTCTCTCTAATCAAGGGCATTTCACTGTCCCCAGATGATTTGCTCGTCAGCTTTGATGTAGTTACTCTGTTCACCAAGGTTCCTGTACCTGACACCTTAGCAATAATTGAAGACTTAGTCCAACATGGACTGAATCCTTATGTACCTACCCTACATAGGCACTGCCTCACCAACACTTACTTCACCTGGAATGGTATTTTCTACAAACAAAATGAAGGTACCCACATGGGTTCCCCTTTATCACCAGTGATAGCGAATGTTTTCATGGAGAAATTTGAAACAGATGCCATCCAGACATCCACCCTACGTCCTTCCTTGTGGAAGAGATATGTAGATGACACTTTCGTCATTTGGCCACATGGCCTGCCAGCTTTGAACCAATTTCTCAACCACATCAATTCCATACACCCATCCATCAAATTCACCATGGAAGTGGAGAAGGATGGTTAGCTACCTTTCCTGGATGTTTTATTTGAGAAGAGACCTGACGGCTCGTTGGGACACTGTCTACAGGAAATTCACCCACACAGATTCATATCTGAAACCTGATTCCCACCACCATCCGGCACAGAAGAATTCCCTTATCAAAACACTACACCATAGGGCCCACTGCATTTCCGACCAACACCACCAAGCCAGTGAACTGGAACACGTACACCAGGCCCTCAAGATGAATGGGTACTCGGACCGTATTATTCGCAAAGCTGTTTTTTCCAACTATGGAGAAACAACCTCCTGAGGAGCCAAACAAAACCATCATGTTACCATACATAGCAAGTGTTACCAATAATATTTCCAAAATCTTAAACAAACACAAGATCCAGGTCCGATTCAATACAGTACACAAAATCCGTGATCTAATCCCATCAGTGAAGGATGTCATTCCTGACATGCAATATCCTGGAGTTTACAAATTGAGCTGTACCTGCGACAGCAGTTACATCAGACCCTGTGGGCATCAATAGCAAAGGCCCTTCCTCCAGGATTTGTATGGCAATAGGGAATGTGAAGCTGGTAAATGAGCGAAGACCTTAGGTTACATTTGTTCTTCGAAACAGAGAGGAGATCCAGCAGGTAGTCTGCGGATTTTTTTGTAAGTACATCGTGAACAAATAAGATCTGGTGCACAAGCCATCGAACATTAAGAGATGTTAAGTTTGCCCCAATGTAGAGATCACAGTGGTGAGTCCTATATGGGCAGTTCAATGCAAATCTCAAGGCCGAGTGATAAATTGAGTCAAGCTTATTCAGTACAATACTTGGGGCTGATTCATATACGATGTCACAGTAATCAAGTAGAGGCAGTATGGTAGCTTTTATCAATTCCAAACAGAACATAGGGTGGAACATTGGAGACATGGAACGTCACATCATGGGGGGGAGGGAAGGAGCCAGAACTGGTGGAGGAGGTGTAAAGGTACTGACTAGATATAGTCGGTCTCAACTCCACACCCAGCATTGGCACTGGAACCAAACTTCTCGATCGGGGTTGGTCTCTCTTCTATTCTGGAGTGAGAGGCCCCGGGCAGGTGTGGGGATACTAACAAGTCCCCGACTAACAAGTCCCAGTGCATGAGAGGGTCGCCTCAATGAGACATCGAGTCTCAGAAAGGAGTAATTGTACTGTTAGCTGTGCTTATGTACCAATCAGCAGTTTAGAGTATTCTTGGAGACGGTGGGTGCAATGCTCGACATAGTGCTGCCTACTGACTCCATAGTCTTACTGAGCGATTTCAATGCTCACGTGGGCAACGATGGACATACCTGGATATGGATGATTGGGAGGAATGGGAACCCGAACGGTGAGATATTATTGGAATTCTGTACTAGTCACGGAATGTCAATAACAAACACCATGTTCGAACAAAAGGATGTTCATAAGTGTACTTGGTACCAGAGCACCTTGGGCCAAAGTTCAATTATTGAATTTATAGTTGTATCATCGGATCTAAGGCCGTATGTTCTGGACACTCGGGTGAAGGGGGGGCAGAGCTGTCAACTGATCACCACTTGGTGGTAAGTTGGATCCGACGTTTGGGGCATTGATAAGATAGACGTTGAAGGCTCAAATGAATAGTAAGAGTTTTCTGGAAACACCTGTTGAAAGACCCAGTGCAGAAAGATTTCAACTTCCACTTCTGGGGAAACTTCTCCTGCACTCTTTGAGAGGTCGTGGACATTGAGTCCGAGTGGAAGATGATCAGGACCTCGATTATGGATGCAGCTGCGAATAGCTGTGGCCTGAAGGCAGTTGGTGCCTGTCATGGTGGAAACCCTAGGACCTGCTGGTAGACACCAGTGGTGAGGGAACCTGTCAAGTTGTAGGAGGCTTCCCGAGCTATACTCGGAAAAAGGTCTCCCGACTCAATTGAGAGGTACCAGCTTGCCAAGAGGGTGGCATCTGCAGCAGTCGTTAAAGCAAAAGCCCAGGCATGGGAGGTGTTTGAAGAGACCATGGAGAGGGACTACCAGGCAGGCTCAAAGATGTTCTGGAAAACCAGAACATCTGGGACATAGCCCAGGTTGTTTTTGGTAAGGGTGGTGTAACATTGATCTTAACTAAGGAGATAGTCGAGAGGTGGAAGGAATACTTTGAGGAGCTCTTCAATCCGGTGGACATGCCCTCGTCTCAGGAGGCAGCCCTGGAAACATCGGGTGAGTCAGATCCATTATCACTGCTGAGGTCATTGTGGCAGTTGAGGGCCTTCGTAGCGGCAAAGCTGCTGAGGTGGACGAGATTCGCTCAGAGTTGTTGAACGTGCTGGACAGTGTAGGAGTGTTGTGGTTAACACGCCCCTTCAATGTTGCATGGAATGCGGGTACAGCACCTGCGGATTGGCAAACTGGGGTCGTGGTTGCCATCTTTTAAAAAAGGGGACCAGAGGGTGTGCTCCAACTACAGAGGAATAGCACTCTTCAGCATCCCAGGTAAAGCCTATGCCAGAGTGCTGGTAGGACGCTCTGCCCGGTGGTCGAACCTCAGCTTCAGGAGGAACAATATGGATTCCGTCATGTTCATGCAACAATGAACCAGCTCTATTCCCTCTCACAGATATTTGACGGGTCATGGGAGTTTGCTTCTCCAGTCTACCTCTGCTTTTTAGATTTGGAGAAAGCATATGACCATGTTCCCTGCAATGTCTTGTGGGAGGTGCTGTGGTAGTATGATATACCAATGCCACTTTTGTGCACTATCTGGACCCTCTATTCCCAGAATTAGAGCTGTGTCTGTATTCTTGGTATTAAATCAAAGTCGTTCACTATGGGTGTTGGACTCCGCCAAGGGTGCATCTTCTCTCCACTCCTGTTTGTGATATTCAAGGCACAGCCAAGGCATGGAGAGCATCTCGTACGGGGCATGGAGGTGACGTTGCTGCTCTTTGCATATGACATTGTCCTCTGTGCATTGTGAGCCTGCAATTTCCAGCATGCACTTGAACGGTTTGATGGTGAGTGTGAAGCAGCTGGGATGAGGATCAGCACCTCAAAATCTGAGGTCATTTTTCACTCCCGGGAGATGGTAAATTGATCTCTGCAGGTGAGGGGGGCACAGCTGCCCTTAGTGGAGGAGTTTAAGTACGTCAAGGTCTCTTTTGCGAGAGATGGTAAGTGGAAGATCAGCCGGCGGATCGGTGCAGCGTCCGCTGTGTTGCGGTCGCTGTACTGTTCCGTAGTAGTGAAACAGAAGCTGAGTTCAAGAACAAAGAACTCGGTTTAAAGCTCGATCTACATTCACACCCTCACCTATGGACATGAGCTTTGGACAATAACCGAAAGAATGAGATTGTGAGTAGAAGGGGCCGAAATGAGGTATCTCCGCAGGGTTGCCAGGCTCACTCTCCGTGATCAGGTGAGGAGCTCGGTAATCAGGGAGAGACTCAGAGTCGAGCTGCTGCTCCTCTAGATCGAGAGGAGCCACTTGAGTTGGTTCAGGCACCTGGTAAGGATGCCCCCTAATAGACTCTCCCTGGAATTCTACCGGGCACGTCTCACTGGGCGAAGACCCCAGGGTGGCCCAGGACACGCTGGCGGGACTATGTTGCTCAGCTAGCCTGGGAACACCTGGGAATTCCCCAGGAAGAGCTAGAGTCTGTCGCCAGGGAAAGAGAGGTCTGGGCCACCCTCCTCAAAATGCTGCCGTCGCGACCCTCACCAGGACAAGCGGATTGAGAAACAAACGAATGAACAATCGCATACTTTGAAAGAGTCATGAATGCCATTCAGGATGATGGCACAGGAATATCTGTGCAAGGAGAAGGAATAAATAACAGAAGATTTGCAAAGGACAACTTAGATCTGATAGAAGAATGCTGCGTAGTACTGAAAAAAGTGTTCATATGCTGAATAAGTCAGGAAAATATGCACGACTGAGGATGAATGTGGAAAAGACAAAATCGATGGTGTTCAAAAGGGAGGACATTGAGAAAGTGGTAATACTACACAGCAGCAAGATGTGAATGTAAAGATACGTGTATACCTGGGAAGTACACCTACATGGGACAACAACTGCATGAAAGTGAGGATATCAAAGGCAAAATAAGTAATGGCAGGATTCAAGAACATTTGAAGACGCAAAAAGTTCAGCAATAAGACCAAACTGAACATCTTGAGAACATGCGTGTTCAGTACAGCTGTGTATGCCTTGGACATTGAAAAAGACGGACAGAGATAAGATATTGGCATTGGAGATGTATTGCTATAGGATACTGCAGCGAAACTGTACCCAAAGTGACCAATGTAGAAGTAAGAAAAGTTTGCACATAGAAGACCTGATGCAGGCGGTGATGAGAAGGAAACTGGAACTACAGTATTTGGACACATATGTAGGATGGAAAACAACAGCTATATTAAAAGTGTGTTGTTTGGAAAACGGAAGGAACTTCCTAGAGAAATGGGCTTGACGACGACATGAGAGATTGTTATATAGATGGGGCACTACTTGAGCATATTGGCAAAAGACAGAGCAAAGTGGAAAGAAATGACGAAATGTGCAGTGGACACCTACGGGCTATCTGTCCATGGACCGTGATAATAATAACTGTCTCATAATTATATGCTTCTCTTTGTGTCCTGAAGAAAGGTTAATACATTTGCTTCTGTTCGCAATGCCAAAAGTAGGTGTAAACATGTTGAGCAATGTGCAGTTAAATATATACTTTTAATTGGTATTTGTAGGTTATCCCAATTAAACTTTTATTATATGACAAACTACATGCCAAAGAAAAATGATAGCGACCCCTAGTAAAAGGCAACCATTTTCCTGTCATAGAATAATATTAAATCAACTTATATATAGAAACTGGATATGCTTATACTAACGTAACTAAAGTTGTTTCTATGTCACAGTCAATGTGTTAACTTTAGGCTCATCAGACACACACCTTTAGATGTAACAATTGTAAAGAGAATACTGTACCTCTGTTGAAGAGTCAACTGTGATGCGTGATATTAGCTCTTTAGTCTGGAATAAAAAAACAACACTATTAGGATACCAGGTTCATATTGAGTCACTTTCATGATATGTTTCAAAGTAAGAATCAGAAGTATACAATAATTACATTTGTGTGCTTAGTTTTAAGTCATAGTTCAGGGTTATGAATGTTAATGCATAAATCTCGAGCAAATGGTGCTCAATAATAATTTCCTTACACACTATTGCTGGTGTCTTCTGCCTTTGTGTGCATATTTTTGATCCTGACATTGTTTTTGTTAGCTGAAATGTAATATTTAAATTAACTTCAAAAACACTAAGAAATCCACAGATGTTACAGAAACATTATCAAGAAATTTTAACTAAAATAGAATCATGCAGAACAACTTGGGACGTATTAGTTTGGCTCTTAAGAGCCTTCACCATTTACTCTAAATCTTAAGAATTCTAAACATCTTATAGAATCCTAAACATCTATGGATTTCCAAGAGAAAGATCTGCTCTCCTAGAGATTTCAGGATAAATATTTTCCTTAAGAGAATAAGGACCGAGATTGTGCTCAGGCAATCAGCATAACTTAGTCTTCCATGTCAGAGTGTGCCATGTATGGTGCTCCTGCTGCTCAGCAGATATGTATGCTTCTGAGGAGAAGTAGCTATAGTATGGCCAAGCACATTTCCAATGGCTGCCTCTTACAGACCCAGTCTTACCAGCATGTAATTAGGTGGTCAAGAAGAGAAAAACAGAATCAACATTTTTTTGTCACTTCTGTATCCCGATATCCACACTGATTTCCATATAACCCTCACTGAGATTCACTCCCAGCTCCTCATCATGGTATGTTGGCCTGATAAAAGTTTAGGTATCGGGTTCTTGTTTTCTTGCAAAAAAAACCCACATGCCCACATTTCACATTCCATTGTGTTGTTAAAAACATAGAAAATGTGTTATTTCTCAATTTATATAATTAATACATGTTTTGTCATTTTCTTTTAACACCCCCCCCACCAATGTTTTTTTTAAGTCACACTGACACACCTCTATGCTGATTTTGTCTTGGTCGAGGGAAAATTTTAATCTGTTTTGGATTTTAATAAGTAAACAACCTGAATATAGACCCATATCACTTAATTGTTCCTTTTAAACCTTCCAATAAAATGACAAGCCTTAAAAACATTCAGGTTATTAAGACATGTTTTTCTTGGTTTTATGGAGTGGCATGATAAAAATATATAAAAAACACAACATTGCACTAAATTTCAGCACAAATCTTAGGATTATTATCGTGGTGCACCGTGGATTTTAGGACCCGTGAAAACCATGCAACATACATTTTTAGGATCCATACAAACTGTTCCCCAAATCAAAGTAAATACTTATGAGAATAGGTTTTCCCCTTTTTTCTGGCAACAAAGCAGGTGTTGAGATGTTAAAATACGAAACTGAAACCTTTTACAAGGAATCATGTCTGCATTAACCACAATACTTGTGGTCAAAATGCATTGTATTTTGATTAATGCAGACATTATTGGTACTGGCAAAGGAGGTCCCATGAAGTAGATACTTCGTTTCACAATTAAAATCCCTTTATGAACACTTTATATGTACGTGAGAGAATTATAGATTTCAATAATTACAGACCTGTTCGCCTCCTTTTGCATGTGTAGAGACAGTGTGTGGACTAGCGGTCACGAGTGGTAATAACAGCCTAGGTAACAGAGAGGTGTTGAACGATCTTGGATCTTCAGGAAGCTTCAGGAAGTTTCAAGAACATGCGAGAGAGTTCGAAAAGTTGGGGCGTGGCCAGGGGTGGAGGGATGGCCACGCTGGAGATAAAAAGGGGCGAGGAGCTAGGTTCGGGGCTGCCGTGGGAGTCAGGGTCATCGCTGTTTTCGGGTCGTCACTGTGTCTTCAAGTCGTCGCTGTCCAGTGATCGCGTCTTTAGTGAATGTATTACTTAAACTTTAAGTTAAATATTTTAACTTTAAATAATAAATTCACTAAAGGAGCAACTATTAAATGACATTCATTTTAAATGAGCTCACCTCAACACCAGCCTTCTCCAATTCTTGCTCATCCTCAGCAGAAGTGTCCTCTGAAATCTATAAGACAAAATGTTTCTTATAATATTACTTCCATTTGTATTACCGTACAGCAAGATCTAGATCTAATAGGTAAATTTGTAAATGTGTCTATGCTTAGAGAGACCATCATTGCATTAGATTTGTTTAAATGTATATTTAAACAATAATGAATCACCCAACATTCTATGTATCGAATGTAGCTCTACTCATATATTTACTTGAAGATGGTTGAATTGGGCATCTCAATGCTATCCAGGGCAACCAAAAAAGCATAGACAACCCTTTTGACCAAAAATAAACAATTCAAAGGACAGCAATATTAAGAGCACAGGTACCACAAGCCCACAAAGATGAATGATGGAAATATGTAATGATGGATGCAGCAATATCTCTAATTTGTGCAGAAAGAATATGGGTTATGATTTGGATGGCTTTGGAAGTGGTATGGCGTGGAATTTTTTAGGAAGAATGACAGGAATCAACATGTTAATTACCATTGAGTAAAAAGTTTTATGTTCGGTTTTATAGAGGGGGAAATCACCATTGCACACAACCATAATCATCTGGATGAAGGCGTCCTCAAGCCATTGTGAGCTCTCACGGTCTTGTGATGCAACGACCTTCTGCACGAGTTTATATTTATATCATCCTCTTTGGAATGTTCTATCGTTTGGATATAACTCCATCATTAGTCTCCACCATCGGCCATAATCCTTTGTAGTGACGTGCCCTGTTCGAGCCCATTTATTTTGCTTAAATCAATGTCCTAAATTGTGTATGTCATGTAATCTATTTGTTCCTCTTTCTGTTTCAGCATGCAATTCAAAGCATTCATCTCAATATGCACTTGTCAACTTTTCTTAGATTTTCTTTGCAAATGTCCATGTATCTGATGTGTAAATCATAGCGAGTACAGTACCATGCATTGATTAAAAACATTATTCTTCAGGGACATTAGTTTGTTGTGTTTTATTAAAATTTCGAAAACAATTCTCTCCTGCACTATCCGTCTTCAATAGCTGTCTTATGAAAACATTATCTGATGTATTTTGCAGTTGTCTCTCCAAGAGATATTTTCAATTGTTTGGTTAACTATGTAAGTGACGTTTGAGTTGCTAATTTATCTTGAAACAAACTTTTTGAACTCTCAGCTAATGTTCTCTGAAGTACATTTTCCATTAGTTATTGTATTGACTGTTATCAGCAAACCTGAGATGTCTATTATTTGCTAAATTTGTAACTATGCCTATTTATTAAAAAAAATCTCATGATGCTCTGAATAACTTCGAAGCATGTCTTCCTCCTTGTAATATATATTTTGTTACAATTCCATCCAATCGCAGTTATGTTTTTGTCAATTATTATTTTTAGGAGTATGTTTTGTAACTTAGGCCCTGCTTTACAAGATCCTGTAAATGGTCAATAGTAAATACAACTATTCTAAATCCAGCTTGCTCTTGTGGTTGATTATGTTCTTGTCCATTAGGAAGTCATGCGACGTTTTGGGCAATGTCCCTTTTGTTCTATGAAGGGTAATTTCTTAAAAAGGTTGACTATTATATATATTTTTTTCATGAAGCAGTGTTTTTGGCAAATGTGAGTTTTTGTTAACTGTGCTTGTGCATCACTATTAAAGGAGTATCACCATGTAATGTGTTAAGAAATATAAGTTAGGCAGGACAGGTTGTTTAATGGGATGATAGATTATCGAGAACTATAGAGTTGCAGCCAAAGGAGAATATCCAAAGTGGAGATGGAACAGATGCCAGGTGGTTTGTTACATCACAGGACCATAATATATTGTGATGGTCAGGGTATAACTTGGTACAGCAGTGGATAGATGACAGTAGATTTACAGAGTAAACTTTTGATTATCTGCACAAATGTTGCTCAAGCATGTATAACAATATATAATATAACCTTGCAGGAATGTTATCACAAGTGCTCCCTTTTTACATGTATTGAAAATGATGTACATTACCGTTATCTCCCGATAAGTCTCACTTTTTTTTCGACATTATCTCAAATTTGGGAAGGATCTTACTATACTCTTTGGTTGTATTGGGTAAAATCATGTAGGTGAAAATAAAATAACAAAAAATCACGACGTTTCGGCCACAACACAAGCGGCCTTCATCAGGTGAAGGGACGAGACTGTCTGGAGGACAGGGCTGGAGTGGGATAAGCCACGCTTAGATCACGACCTTTAAGCTGTGTGAGAAGAAAAACACAAAGCGCCTTGACAAAGAAATTAGCATATAATTTAGCATTGAAATGGCTCATTGAAATAGCTAAGTTAAAGTATACACATCCGCAGAGGTACTCTTTGACAAAGGAATTAGCATAGAATTTAGCATTGAAATAGCTGAGTGATTAGCTTGTAACTGGTCACAGAAATAGCTATGTTAAAGTCAGAGCATATACATTCACCGAGGCACCTAGTACTCATCAAACAGGAGAATTTAGCGAAACACAACCACGCTCAGACAGCGGACCTTTAAACTGTGTGCGAGCAAACAAGGTGTTCTGACAAAGAAATTAGCATAAAAATTAGCATTTGATTGGCGGATTTTAGGAAAGAGGTGGTGTACGTGCCGTTTGGCGCGGGGGGGAAGGGGGGGAGGGGGAGTTTACCTATTGATGGTGTGAAAAGGGAATTTATAAGAGCTGCGAAAGTTTGGGGTACCACTACTTGAAATATATACTGTACCATTGAAATTAGTTTAATGTTTAGTTCGATTTAGAACATCTTTCCAATGGTTGCTTAATTTGAAACCATCCTCTCGGTTGAAATTGTGTCTGTGTTTGTAGATCTGAATTGCTTCATGAACAAATCTCTGATAAAAGCCCGTGGGTTTGCAAAGAACCTTGGTATCGGAGAAAATTATATCGTGATCCCCCACAGCGTTGTAACAGTGATCAGCCACGGCAGAAGAATTCGTTTTGCCGTGTTTCAAATCTGATTTGTGCTCGCGAATTCGGTCAGAGACATGTCGCTTTATCTCACCGACATAGCAATTACCGCAGGTACAACTCAATTTGTAAACCCCGGGGTACTGTAAATCAGGAATGACATCCTTCACGGATGGGATCAGATCACGAATTTTGTGTACTGTATTGAACCGGACCTGGATCTTGTGTTTGTTTAGAATTTTGGAAATCTTTTTAGTAACGCCTGCTATATATGGAAGTGTGATGGTTTTGACCGGAGTATCAAGTGGATGTTTCTGTATGGAGGGAGAAACAGCTTGGCGGATGGTACGGCCAGAGTAACCATTCCTTTTGAGGGCCAGGTGTACATGTTTTAATTCACTGGTCAGGTGGTGTTGGTCCGAAATGCAATGAGTCCTATGGTATAAAGTTTTGATGAGAGAATTCTTTTGGGCTGGGTGGTGGTGGGAATCAGGTTTCAAGTAGAAATTTTTGTGGGTGGGTTTCGTGTAGACAGAATGCCCCAATGAGCCATCAGGTCTCCTCTCAAACAGAACATCTAAGAATGGTAGCTTGCCATCTTTCTCCACTTCCATGGTGAATTTGATGGCGGGATGTCTGGAATTGATGTGGTGTAGGAAAAGGTTCAGAACTGGGAGGCCATGTGGCCAAATGACGAAAGTGTCATCCACATATCTCTTCCACAGGGAAGGTCTGAGGGTGGAAGTCTGGATGGCGTCTGATTCAAATTTCTCCATGAAAATATTGGCTATCACTGGTGAAAAGGGGGATCCCATGGGGGTACCCTCATTTTGGAAGGAGCCATTCCAAGTAAAGTAGGTATTGTTGAGGCAGTGCCTAACCAGTGCAGGTGTGTCGGGGTCTAGTCCATGTTGGACCAAATTTTCAATTACTTCAATGGTATCAGGTACTGGGACCTTGGTGAACAAAGAGACCACATCGAAGCTGACAAGGATATCGCCAGGGGACAGTACAACGTCTTTGACCATAGAGACCAATTGGGCTGAGTTAAGTACTGCTGAGGCGGTCTTGCCAGTGAAAGGCAGCAAGGTATCTGACAGAAAACGGGCTAGTCTATAGGTAGGGGAGTTGATCGTGGATACGATGGGTCGAAGTGGGGTGCCTTCTTTATGAATCTTGGGAAGACCATAGAATCTAGGGGGTCTTGCAGCAGAAGGTTTTAGGGAGGGACGTTTAGTTGGGTCGATTAGGGAGGTCGAACTTGTGATGATCTTGTTGGTTTTTATCGCTAGGCTATTAGTAGGGTCATTTTTTATTTTTGAGTAACTTCCATCGTTGAGCAGATTCTGGATTTTGTTGGTGTATGAATCTTTATCCATAATAACAGTAGCGTTGCCTTTATCGGCTGAGAGGATGACTATATCACTTCTGTTTTTCAAATTCGCGAGTTCAGAGCGTTCATTTTTGCTGATGTTACTAATGGGTTTCTTAGCATTCTTAAGAATAGTGGCTATTTCAGCTCTCGCAACGTCTGCTTGGATGTGTCCTACGCCTTTGAGGGCTACATCGACCTGAGAGATGATATCATCTATTGGTATGTGTTTTGGGGTGACAGCAAAATTTAGTCCCCTAGCCAGTACTGTTTTCAGATTGTCCGAAATCGGGGTGCTACTCTGATTAATGACGATTTTGTTAACATCTAGTTTTGTTATATGTGGAACTGGGTTCTTCTTTGGTAGGTGGTTGAATTTAGAAATCAGGTTAGCTTTACATTTGACTGACAGTGACTCAGCAGAAGAAGCAGTCATGTTATCTACGTGATTCCAATCAGAAGGTGACATTTTTTGTGTTAACATTAAATGGGCTTGTAGGAGAGTCCTGTCTAAAGTATCGAGTTCAAATCGGAGTAACCTTATCCTCTCTGAGATTAAAGATAGGCTGGCCTTAAGCAGAATCAGTTTAGAATTCGGAGAAGATACAGCAGCAGAAGTGAGTGTGAAAGCGATGGGTATTACCTTGTGATCGCGGCATCTTTTGACGAAGGTCAGCGTCTCGATGAGTTGCGACTTCTTGTCCCGTTGTCTGTTAAAAGCTCTAACAGATAGGTGAAAGCCCTCCCCATAGAGGTTATCAATTCTAGATTTAAAGCTTTCGTGACTGCTAGGATCCATACTCTTTGGTTCTATTGGGTAAAGTCACGTAGGTGAAAATAAAATAACAAAAAATCACGACGTTTCGGCCACAACACAAGCGGCCTTCATCAGGTGAAGGGACGAGACTGTCTGGAGGACAGCGCTGGAGTGGGAGAAGCCACGCTTAGATCACGACCTTTAAGCTGTGTGAGAAGAAAAACACAAAGCGCCTTGACAAAGGAATTAGCATATAATTTAGCATTGAAATGGCTCATTGAAATAGCTAAGTTAAAGTATACACATCCGCAGAGGTACCCCTTGACAAAGGAATTAGCATAGAATTTAGCATTGAAATAGCTGAGTGATTAGCTTGTAACTGGTCACAGAAATAGCTATGTTAAAGTAAGAGCATACCAAGGTTCTTTGCAAACCCACGGGCTTTTATCAGAGATTTGTTCATGAAGCAATTCAGATCTACAAACACAGACACAATCTCAACCGAGAGGATGGTTTCAAATTAAGCAACCATTGGAAAGATGTTCTAAATCGAACTAAACATTAAACTAATTTCAATGGTACAGTATATTTTTCAAGTAGTGGTACCCCAAACTTTCGCAGCTTTTATAAATTCCCTTTTCACACCATCAATAGGTAAACTCCCCCTCCCCCCCCCTTCCCCCCCCCCCCCGCGCCAAACGGCATGTACACCACCTCTTTCCTAAAATCCGCCAATGAAATGCTAATTTTTATGCTAATTTCTTTGTCAGAACACCTCGTTTGCTCGCACACAGTTTAAAGGTCCGCTGTCTGAGCGTGGTTGTGTTTCGCTAAATTCTCCTGTTTGATGAGTACTAGGTGCCTCGGTGAATGTATATGCTCTTACTTTAACATAGCTATTTCTGTGACCAGTTACAAGCTAATCACTCAGCTATTTCAATGCTAAATTCTATGCTAATTCCTTTGTCAAGGGGTACCTCTGCGGATGTGTATACTTTAACTTAGCTATTTCAATGAGCCATTTCAATGCAAAATTATATGCTAATTCCTTTGTCAAGGCGCTTTGTGTTTTACTTCTCACACAGCTTAAAGGTCGTGATCTAAGCGTGGCTTCTCCCACTCCAGCGCTGTCCTCCAGACAGTCTCGTCCCTTCACCCGATGAAGGCCGCTTGTGTTGTGGCCGAAACGTCGTGATTTTTTGTTATTTTATTTTCACCTACGTGACTTTACCCAATAGAACCAAAGAGTATGGATCCTAGCAGTCACGAAAGCTTTAAATCTAGAATTGATAACCTCTATGGGGAGGGATTTCACCTATCTGTTAGAGCTTTTAACAGACAACGAGACAAGAATTGCAACTCATCGATACGCTGACCTTCCTCAAAAGATGCCGCGATCACAAGGTAATACCCATCGCTTTCACACTCACTTCTGCTGCTGTATCTTCTCCGAATTCTAAACAGATTCTGCTTAAGGCCAGCCTATCTTTAATCTCAGAGAGGATAAGGTTACTCCGATTTGAACTCGATACTTTAGACAGGACTCTCCTACAAGCCCATTTAATGTTAACACAAAAAATGTCACCTTCTGATTGGAATCACGTAGACAACATGACTGCTTCTTCTGCTGAGTCACTGTCAGTCAAATGTAAAGCTAACCTGATTTCTAAATTCAACCACCTATCAAGGAAGAACCCAGTTCCACATATAACAAAACTAGATGTTAACAAAATCGTCATTAATCAGAGTAGCACCCCGATTTCGGACAATCTGAAAACAGTACTGGCTAGGGGACTAAATTTTGCTGTCACCCCAAAACACATACCAATAGATGATATCATCTCTCAGGTCGATGTAGCCCTCAAAGGCGTAGGACACATCCAAGCAGACGTTGCGAGAGCTGAAATAGCCACTATTCTTAAGAATGCTAAGAAACCCATTAGTAACATCAGCAAAAATGAACGCTCTGAACTCGCGAATTTGAAAAACAGAAGTGATATAGTCATCCTCTCAGCCAATAAAGGCAACGCTACTGTTATTATGGATAAAGATCCATACAACAATAAAATCCAGAATCTGCTCAACGATGGAAGTTACTCAAAAATAAAAAATGACCCTACTAATAGCCTAGCGATAAAAACCAACAAAATCATCACAAGTTCGACCTCCCTAATCGACCCAACTAAACGTCCCTCCCTAAAACCTTCTGCTGCAAGACCCCCTAGATTCTATGGTCTTCCCAAGATTCATAAAGAAGGCACCCCACTTCGACCCATCGTATCCACGATCAACTCCCCTACCTATAGACTAGCCCGTTTTCTGTCAGATACCTTGCTGCCTTTCCCTGGCAAGACCGCCTCAGCAGTACTTAACTCAGCCCAATTGGTCTCTATGGTCAAAGACGTTGTACTGTCCCCTGACGATATCCTTGTCAGCTTCGATGTGGTCTCTTTGTTCACCAAGGTCCCAGTACCTGATACCATTGAAATAATTGAAAATTTGGTCCAACATGGACTAGACCCCGACACACCTGCACTGGTTAGGCACTGCCTCAACAATACCTACTTACCTTGGAATGGCTCCTTCTACAAACAAAATGAGGGTACCCCCATGGGATCCCCCTTTTCACCAGTGATAGCCAATATTTTCATGGAGAAATTTGAATCAGACGCCATCCAGACTTCCACCCTCAGACCTTCCCTGTGGAAGAGATATGTGGATGACACTTTTGTCATTTGGCCACATGGCCTCCCAGCTCTGAACCTTTTCCTACACCACATCAATTCCAGACATCCTGCCATCAAATTCACCATGGAAGTGGAGAAAGATGGCAAGCTATCATTCTTAGATGTTCTGTTTGAGAGGAGACCTGATGGCTCATTGGGGCATTGTCTACAGGAAACCCACCCACACAGATTCCTACTTGAAACCTGATTCCCACCACCACCCAGCCCAAAATAATTCTCTCATCAAAACTTTATACCATAGGGCTCATTGCATTTCGGACCAACACCACCTGACCAGTGAATTAAAACATGTACACCTCGCCCTCAAAAGGAATGGTTACTCTGACCGTACCATCCGCCAAGCTGTCTCTCCCTCCATACAGAAACATCCACTTGAAACTCCGGTCAAAACCATCACACTTCTATATATAGCAGGCGTTACTAAAAAGATTTCCAAAATTCTAAACAAACACAAGATCCAGGTCCGGTTCAATACAGTACACAAAATTCGTGATCTGATCCCATCCGTGAAGGATGTCATTCCTGATTTACAGTACCCTGGGGTTTACAAATTGAGTTGTACCTGCGGTGATTGCTATATCGGTGAGACAAAGCGACATGTCTCTGACCGAATTCGCGAGCACAAATCAGATTTGAAACACGGCAAAACGAATTCTTCTGCCGTGGCTGATCACTGTTACAACGCTGTGGGGGATCACGATATAATTTTCTCCGATACCAAGGTTCTTTGCAAACCCACGGGCTTTTATCAGAGATTTGTTCATGAAGCAATTCAGATCTACAAACACAGACACAATTTCAACCGAGAGGATGGTTTCAAATTAAGCAACCATTGGAAAGATGTTCTAAATCGAACTAAACATTAAATTAATTTCAATGGTACAGTATATTTTTCAAGTAGTGGTACCCCATACTTTCGCAGCTCTTATAAATTCCCTTTTCACACCATCAATAGGTAAACTCCCCCTCCCCCCCTTCCCCCCCGCGCCAAACGGCACGTACACCACCTCTTTCCTAAAATCCGCCAATCACATGCTAATTTTTATGCTAATTTCTTTGTCAGAACACCTTGTTTGCTCGCACACAGTTTAAAGGTCTGCTGTCTGAGCGTGGTTGTGTTTCGCTAAATTCTCCTGTTTGATGAGTACTAGGTGCCTCTGTGAATGTATATGCTCTGACTTTAACATAGCTATTTCTGCGACCAGTTACAAGCTAATCACTCAGCTATTTCAATGCTAAATTCTATGCTAATTCCTTTGTCAAGGGGTACCTCTGCGGATGTGTATACTTTAACTTAACTATTTCAATGAGCCATTTCAATGCTAAATTATATGCTAATTCCTTTGTCAAGGCGCTTTATGTTTTTCTTCTCACACAGCTTAAAGGTCGTGATCTAAGCGTGGCTTCTCCCACTCTAGCGCTGTCCTCCAGACAGTCTCGTCCCTTTACCTGATGAAGGCCGCTTGTGTTGTGGCCGAAATGTCGTGATTTTTTGTTATTTTATTTTCACCTACGTGACTTTACCCAATAGAACCAAAGAGTATGGATCCTAGCAGTCACGAAAGCTTTAAATCTAGAAAAGGATCTTACTCTCATCAGTATCTTATATTATGGAGAATCTGGTATATTTTACTTGGACATTTCAAAACATACTTTGCCAACAAAAATATAAATGTTGACCCAAGTTACGTTAAGATAAAAAAAAAGTACTTTGTAAAGTTAGAATAACTTACACTTTTGTACATTCTCTTTATTTTGAGCACGTCGAATGGGCTGAGACATCCTCGCTGACCGATTGGAGTTCTCTCATTTGGAATGGGGATGATTGTTGGGCTGAAATGATCTGCAGAAGATGACCACCTTTTACACAATAAAAGAGAGTACAAATATGTTACAAATCAACTAAATCACATGTTTAAAAATGTTTTTGAACACGTTTTAATATCCCAAAATTTTTCAAATATTGATGTGAAAATTGTGGCTTTATTAAAATTCCGTTTGATACTTATAGATTAAAGCTGTTATAAACTCCCCACCATATTGGTAGTGAGGGCTATTTGATCATACTTCACCACGCTAGTCAGTACAGGTTAGTGAAGGATGGGAACATAGATGTAAGCGCTTAGAAGTGAAGTACGACAAAACTCATTCTGCACTGTTCCCTGATGACTCCGATGTAGTGCAGCTACGAATAAAACGCCAATCCAAGCACTGTTGGTTCAACCCGGTTTAGTTTGAGATTCAACAAAAACAATCATTCACAATCATGGTAATATAATTGACGTCGATATATAATCCAAAGTTAATCCAATAACATGCGTCACAAGCATGTATCTAACCTGTCATGGAACAGCTACAGTTGTCTGGGTGAAAAGTGGGCTAAGTTTTGCCCAATCCTAGTCAGCTGGCTCAAAAAACGTAATAATCTGGCTAGGTGTGCCTGCACTTTTCTTTCCCATTGCATCTCCCGAGGAGTCATCTTCCTGAATTCCTCACCATCACCACCACCTCCATCGTCAAATCATCAACATCCATGGTAATAAAAAAAAAATGTTCTTTATAATGTACTTATTGCCTAATTGTGGTTATTGTTAAAGGTAAGTAAAAAAACACACATTGTTCTTCATAATGTCATTAATTGTAGCATTGTTATCAAGCATTACTATTTCCCCCCTATGTTCACTTGTACCAAGAACTTAACCCAATTTTTCCCATTGAACAAAGTTTCTGCATTCGCGAATTCTGCATTCGTGAGCGTTTTCAAGAACGTAACCCTCGCAAATAGAGGGTGTACTGCACATTATACACAAATATCACATGTGCTAGTGCAATTATAGTATACATTACATGATATTTTAAAGTAAATTTTAATCAGTTGACCTGGTGTAGTTGAATGTGACATTTGGATAGCTGGGGTCTGGCTAACTGTTATTTATGAATGGATATTCAGACCACACAATCCGTAAAGCTATCACCCCAACTGTTGGGAAAAAACATCCGAGGACCCAATCTAAACCATCACCTTGCCATACATAGCAGGGGTCACTAAAAATATTTCCAAAAACATGAGCAAACCCAAGATCCAGGTTCGATTTAACACAGTAGATAAAATTCGTGATCTGATCCCATCTGTGAAGGATGTGATCCCTGACATGCAATACCCTGGCGTCTGCAAACTAAACTGTGTCTGCGGCAGTAGTTACATTGGGGAAACTAAGCCACATATCTCGGATCGTGTTTGTAAACATAAGGCAGATCTGGAACATGGTAGGACCAATACCTTGGCCGTGGCTGTTTGAATGCGGTGGGCTCACACGAAATTGATTTCTCTAAGACGAAGGTACTTTGCAAGCCTACTGGCTATCAACAAAGATTAGTTCATGAAGCCATCCATATATATAGACACAGACACAATTACAACTGAGAAGATGGGTACAAACTGAGCAATCATTGGAAGGACGTTATCAACCAGTTTAAGTCATAATTGGCTATGATGTTCCCATTCTACCACCTTCCGATGTTAGTTGTGCTGTACACCCATTTCAAACTTGCGCTTTCACAGGGTTCACACTAACACAGCCACTTCGTGCGCCGACCACTTGGTTGCAGCTCTGCGATCTTCCTTAACATTCTAATCTCTAATTAACATGCGTATTTTCACCTGGAAGCCCTTTGATTGGTGGAAACCTGCCCACCACTGACATTAACATTGGCTGCTGACATTTGGGCTACGCCCATTTCAAACCCTTATAAACAGTTTGCCTTGGAAGCTAAGCCCCCTTTTCCTGAAGACGACCGCTTGTGTTGCGATAGAAACGTCGTAGTTTTTTGTTATTTTCTTTGACCCTATCTACGTGACTTTACCGAAAGACCCAAAATATGGTGTGCTCAGGCTGCTGGCCCTAGATTGTTCCCCATGAAAGTTATCCAAGTTAAATTTATACGTGGAATTTATCTCACTAATAAGAGGAGAGCAAAGTTCTCATTCCTCCCCAAACTGCCCTAGATGCCCACGAGGGACCACCCAGACATACCTGCATATCTTTTGGTTGTGCCCAGATAATAATGAATTCTACCAGGATATCGCTAAATATTTCAACAGGATCTGTTGCACAAATGTCAGGCCCACTGTGGACTTCTCCCTATGGAGCCTAAAAACAACGGGAGTGTCCTAGCCGAAGTATACGCTACTCCAAGCGTTCAATATAGTAACGAGGAAAGCTATCGTAGGCAATTGTAAAGATCACCAACCCCCCTCATGGAAAAGTTTAGAGCCGATCATCATACGCCCTGTTTGCAATGGAGCACCTTAGTTACAAATTGAAAGGGAAGGAATGGGAATTCGAGACAGTATGAGCCCCTTTTCTCAATAACCCCATCAACAGCAAACTACCGGAGAGCCCCATGCAATAAATTGAAAACAAGGAAAATTGTGGGAATGGTGAGGAGGTGGGGGATAGGCCCCAGGGCACACCTTATCCCAGATTACACTGAGAGATGGCTGATCCTAGAAGGAGGACGAGCATACGTGGGCCTCAAGTTCTGTTCTTTTCTTATTTTATTAATTATATTTGTTATACACCCCCCGCCCCCACCCCCTCCCAGGTCCCTATCCTCTGTCTTTGTTAGAAAATTTACTTGGTACACCTTAACAAGCTCCTGTTTAGGGAGAAAAGCCTACCCAGAGGGTGCAATACCCAGACATGTGACCTTACTTGTATGTGTACGTGTCCTCTGTTGTGATTGTTGATATTGGTTCAATAAAAAAACTGATGTAAACATTGTGATGTATATATAATGAGCCATTTGTCATCTGATTAATTGCCACACATGTTACAAAATTATAGAAGTGAAGAGCAGGCAAAACTAGATATGAATATATTTGTTATTGGGAAAGTTACCTGAGTAATATAACATCCTTGTTTAACAACAATTGTCAAATGAAGACCGATTAATTTTGCACGTGTACCAAAAGTATACACAACCTCGTGAGTTATTTTCGTAGACAATGTGAGGCTGTCTTGTAGTTCTTACCTCTCATAATGCATGATGGAGACATAATCATATGGCAACCCTAAATCATGGTCACTGGAGTCCCGACACTTAAATTGAGACAGCTCATCTAAATGACAAAAAGAAGTATAGCACTTGCACTTTAAGATAGCATTGTAATGTACATATTTGTGCAAAACATGTAAAATTCATGAATAAAGCTAAACAATAACATGGTCAATATAAATCCATATTCTTAGCTCTTTCGGTAAAGTCACGTTGAAGGGAAACAATAAAATAATAAAATATAAATAAAACAATAAAAATTATCACGACGTTTCGACCATAACACAAACGGTCGTCATCAGGTGTGTCGTCGTGAGAATTTTTATTGTTTTATTTATATTTTATAATTTTATTGTTTCCCTTCAACGTGACTTTACCGAAAGAGCTAAGAATATGAATTACTGCAGTCACGAATGCTTTAAATCAAAATGGTCAATATAAATATGACATTTTTTTCTGAGGCAGGAATCACTGATATAGCAAATCATGGTTTGGGGCCATTTGTACTCATATATACCAATAAAAAATCATATTCAATGGCATACAGCCTTAGAATGGTAAATAAGCTTTAGAGCCTTTAAACCTTAAGTAGGTGTTACTATACGTTGTTTACTATTATGTTATTTTATAACTGAGGTTTAGAAAATTAGAGGTTGGGCGTTTTATTGAACTCATACATCGTTTGTAACTAATGTTATCGCACTCACCTTCTTTAATGTTGTCCTCTTGGACCTTGATGTACTGGTCACGGTCGCTGCGGCAGTGCTCGTGCTGGAAGCCGAGCGCATGCATCAACTCGTGCAGAACCGTGCCCTTCTCCACCTTCCCGGGCTCCAGGGACACGGACTGAGCCCCTCCCTTCTTGCCCAGGAATGACCAGCTCCTGAATAATAATAAAGCATTGTTGATAATATTTGAATGCAGCACTATACATTTAGATTGACCTTCAGCCTCCCCATATGACAGACATCATCTTTGCATACAGCAAACATACAAACTGTATCTGAAATCTTGCCATCTGAAACGTTGGTTTCATTGCAAATCCAGAGCTTGTCTTCTTCCCCTCAGCTTTCAATTCAGCAAGATGCGTTATAGTAACATTAAATATGCTTTGGATTTATGAAGCTTTTACATTTGACTATATGTCAAAATGGTATGCAAATTAATGGAAAAGACAGTTTATAACAGAAATAAAAATGAATTTTTGTTTGTAATATTTTTAGAGGGAATGAAGAGTAGGAGGTTATTGGGTTTTGAAGAAAAACAGTACTGTATAGGTATCCCTTGATTTACGAAAGGGATGCATTCTTAAAAACACACGTAAAACTGTTTAACATGTACATAGGCTTTCGCGGCCAATATCCATAATCGAGGTTTTTGGGTTAGATCGCGTAAATATATGTCGTTAAAACCCGCCACCACCCTACACAGCCAACTAGTAAGGGTTGGCACGTAAACAGAACATGCCAAGTGACGAATTGGCATGTTCTGTTTACGTGCCAACCCTTACGAGTTGGCTGTGTCGAGTGGTGGCGGGTTTTAACGACACATTTATATTTACGCAATCTAACCCAAAAAGCTCTATTATACACGTAAAACTACATTTTGTACTAACCTAAAAATATACACCTCTGATCACTTTTCACAATCCAAACATACTAATAAGGAACATAAATATGAAAACTATTAAATATTCGTTTTAGTGACTTGCTTAACTTTTTCCTATCTTATGCTGGTATCCTTTATTTACTTTTTTTGTTGTAACTAGCTGTCAGCACACACGCTCGCCATCTATTACATTTAGAGGACCAGAACACAGCATCGACCTTACAGAGTCGGTATTTCTGGCCAGCATGAAAACGTGATTTATAACTTTGATCCTTAGTTACGTATCAATACTTCTATTTTAGTGTGCAATTTGAGGGAATGTGTGTTACTCTTTGGTTCTATTGGGTAAAGTCACGTAGGTAAAAAATAAAATAACAAAAATCACGACGTTTCGGCCACAACACAAGCGGCCTTCATCAGGTGAAGGGACGAGACTGTCTGGAGGACAGCGCTGGAGTGAAAAAAGCCACGCTCAGATCACGCCCTTTAAGCTGTGTGAGAAGAAACAAAGCGCCTTGACAAAGGAATTAGCATATAATTTAGCATAGAAATGGCTGAGTGATTAGCTTGTGACTGGTCACAGAAATGGCTATGTTAAAGTTAAAGTATACACATCCGCAAAGGCACCCCTTGACAAAGGAATTAGCATAGAATTTAGCATTGACATAGCTAAGTTAAAGTATACACATCCGCAAAGGCACCCCTTGACAAAGGAATTAGCATAGAATTTAGCATTGAAATAGGTGAGTGATTAGCTTGTAACTGGTCACAGAAATAGCTATGTTAAAGTCAGAGCATATACATTCACCGAGGCACCTAGTACAAATCAAACAGGAGAATTTAGTGAAACACAACCACGCTCAGACCGCGGACCTTTAAGCTGTATGCGCGCAAACAAGGTGTCCTGACAAAGAAATTAGCATAAAAATTAGCATTTGATTGGCCGATTTTAGAAAAGAGGTGGTGTACGTGCCGGTGGACTTGCCGTTTGGCGCGGCGGGGGGGGGGGAGTTTACTTATTGATGGTGTGAAAAGGGAATTTATAAGAGCTGCGAAAGTTAGGGGTACCACTACTTGAAAAATATACTGTACCATTGAAATTAGTTTAATGTTTAGTTCGATTTAGAACATCTTTCCAATGGTTGCTTAATTTGAAACCATCTTCTAGAATGGAATGTGTGTTGTCTTGGTGTGGTCCGGGACTGTTTTTGTTGTTGTTTTGCTGCCTTGCCCAAGCTTGCATTGTATTGAAAAGTTGGCAGAATCCCCTGTACTTATGCAATTTGCACTATACTTATTTTTCGTGACTTACCTTTTCTGTATTTTGCACGCCTATCGTTTTATCATTTGTTGTAACTTGCTGACCCACCCCTAATGGACATCTTTAAAAAAGAGCTTCATAGCTTATCAGATTCCTCCAGGATAAATAAAGATTATGATGATAGCCCCTATCTGGGTGTTAACTTAAAATTACTTACAATAGCAGAAGAGTATTTGAGCCTGGAAAATGCTTACATTTTTAGCGTTATGCTTGGTGAACTAGATACATTAACGACCATTAAACTAGAGTTTTCTTTAATGTTGCAAAAAGGTGCTTGCTGACTCGAAGTGAGTGGCATAGGTAATATTGTTACGAATATACGTGGAGAGTCTGTGCTTGGCATTGAGGAAATAGTTAAGTTGCTAAAAGCCCATTATCAATATCTGTCTTGCAGATATATGACATCAATCAGGTTCTGCTGAGTCAGAATACTGTGAGATAATGCTTGGCGGCTAACAAACTTTCAGCTGAAGATATTTGAGCATTTAGCCAATTGCTAGAAAATTTAATGACAACACAATGTCTGTAGAACTACTGGACGATTCATCGGGATATATTCAAAGTTTTGTAAATAGCTCTAAATGAAGCCCAAAGGTTGGTTCATTTATTCCCCTTAACAGAGCTGAGAATCCACTAAAACATGCCACATGTATTTCTGGTTCAGCACACCGGTGTGTTGGAAAGTGATCTCACAACATTCAAATGGGCAACAACTTTTGCTGGAGAATATATCCAACATCATCAGGTTGTTAAAAGGTGCTCAGCTCTCGAGTGAAAGTGATTCCTGATCTGAGCCCTGAAGTAAATGCCATGCCGTCAATTGCATGATCTACCTTAATAATTAGTTGATTGCTTGTTTTTTGGTTGTGACTGGCAGGTTAAGTTCATTTTAACACGTAGGCTTTCACGAGCAATATTATTCATAATAAAGGTGGGTTAGATCGCATTATTTATAGATGTGTCGTAACCCTCGACCACCCAACACAGCCAGTAAGGTTTGTCACATAAACAACGCGCCAATTAGTTACCACTACAGCCCACCGGTGTGTTGGAGAGTAAATCCGCAACATTTACAATTTGAGTACGACGTTTCGCTGGTAATTACATCCAGCATCATCGGGCGATTTGCCAGAATAGTGAAGCAATCCACCTGCTTCTGGTCTTAAATAGAGAAAGATGACGTAATCACAGGTTAAGTTCATGTACTAAAACCTGTATTTAATTAGCACAGTACCATTGTGCCTTTATTATGAAGTTCACCACCTCATTCTGTTCTTTTTCATCTCTTTATTTTTCATCTTTTTATTTTCATCTTTTTGATCCTAATTCACTTTCATTATTGTCCTTGGTATATTTATGTGATTGTGTTTTTAAATAATATACCTCCAACAGTCATATTATTGCTCCACAGGACATATTTATACAATAGAAGCTGCTGTAATATAATTGTAGTGCGATTGCAGTACTGTGACCCACTTGTTGTGTATTGCAGTTTTTGGCCATGAAATAAAGCCATGCAAAATCCTATTATTCAAATTATTCAAAATTTTAAATTATCTCAGCCTTTGATGAGATCAATTAATTGTAATATCCCCGTGTTTATCACTCAGTAAAAAATACTAATTTCAACAGAGAGACTAGGATAATAGGATCTGCCCCTTGTGACCCCAATAGCAAATTGGATATAGGAGAATCTCTTGCGAAACTTAAAAATTTAGTAGTTCAATCCAAAGATACTTGGATAATTTCACAACCTTGTAGTATATTTTGAAAAAATACACATTTTATTGCACTTTTTGCATTTACTTAAAATACAGAGCACAAAAACATGTCACAAACACGCAACATACATTTCAGTTATTGACGAATGTGGTGAGTTTTTGTTATTTGTGCTTGTGTACCACTACCAATGCATTATCATCAAATTATTTTTTATAGAAACTTTTGCTTAACCCATGGATAACTATAATTAATGATGATGATGTATTGACTACAAACACTTTATATTACTCACCCCTCCAATGCTTGAAAATTGATGTAATCTGGCTCTTCTTTTCTTTCTATTAAGTGCACACATGTTTTTTGCTTTAGCTCAGAAATAGCTTGGTCAATTGTCAATTTATCTTCAGAAGCTGAAAAATAAATGACATAAATATTATTTCAGTATTTTTCCTGAAATATCTTCTGTGCAGTTTCTCAAGGAAAGGTTTAATAAAATAAAGGAAGAAAAAGCATGTGCATGCATTAATTATGGTGTGCCTTCCAATACTTTGTGTCCTCAGAAGTATTTATGCTTTTTTATTGAATGTGTATAACCTTTTATTACATATATAATGCAGTGGCCATCAAAAGGCATTGAAATAGCCTTGCGGTATCACATTTGCCACTTCTTGCACAGGTTCAAATCCAGTGACTTCTAAAAATACAGTGGCTGTTAAAAATAAAGTGATATCATTCGCAAGAGAAGGCTGCTGTGTTCTGACATCATGGCCCAAATTTACAAATTTTAACAAAAAAAATTGCTGCAAATTACATAATTTAAATAGCAATAATCGCCCCAAACTGTGAACACATGGCAAAAAGTTTAATGATGTATGAGGCTCAGCAAAACTTCCCTGCATAAACAAATAACGATACATTCTTCATTAAGAAAATGTAAAGTTTGCAAGAAATTAAGGCGTTCAAAAACCTCAAAGTAATCCAATTAACATAGAGGTGCATGTTTGGAATTACACAGAAAGAAAGAGGAACACTTGCATTAGAAAATATATGCAGGTAAAGACACAATTCAAACTTAGTAAGAGTAAATGGCCTTGGGTAAAACATGTTGCTCGAAGGGATGATGGCCGATGGTCAAGAATAGTGAAACAGGAAGGGACTATGAGTAAAAGGATATCTACTCAGGAGTTAGAGCAATGTAATCAGCTCATGTGCATTTTGTGGATTGTTACATTCCTGGACAGGCAGCGTTCTGCAGTTCACTGTTGAGTACGGGAGCACATGGCATAGTTTGCAAAGCCCCCCATCCACAGCATATCAGCATGTAGCTGAACCGAATCCAGTTGGAGATCGTGAATTATGTGCAGATTATGGGACAGCCCGTTGCGCACACCATGCCACCATTGCAACTCACGCTCAACCCGCGCAGCTGCGAACCACACCCCATGCATTCTGATTTTTTTAGCAGTAAAATAATCACTGTGCAGATGCGAATCCATGCAGAAAAAACATGTGCAGAGTGAGGGTCAGGTGTATAATAATTTGTGTGTAAAATCTTTCTGAACCAGATAAACCTAACTGTGCATATTACTTACCGAATGCAGTAGAGATGTTGTAGGGAATGTATACGTTTCCATCTTCATGTAAAGGCCACTTAACTATTTCTTCGGAATCATCACCAACAATGTCTCCATTCTTCTCAAATGCTTTCCCTCCTACAAAAACAGAGTAATACATTTCCATTTTCAAATGCTATCACATACTATGAATTCCTATTTATAAACCAACACTATCCTAATAATAATAATTTACACTTCTATAATACCTATCACCCAGACGTCACAAAGTGCTGTGTACAACAAAGATCCCCCATATAGCCTTAACAGACTGTAGGGGCAAGTGCTGTTAGCGAGCACCTATGAAGGCCGGAACGGTACACGAGGGGGTGGGTGGCCAGCACCACGCCCGACCGCCTTTGTCTCCCTAGTGGCAATGTTTACACACCGCACCAGGTACTCATTTGAGGCTGAGTCGACCTAGGGGAGGCCCGGGACCGGTTCAGATAATCGTCACTGGTGTTGGCCGTGAGCGGGAATCGAACCCGGGTCGCCAGGTTCATAGCGCAGCGCGCTAACCGCTACACTATCGCTCCCCATAACAACACACACATGCAGTCACTCAGAACAATCAGTTCCAACCCCAAAACGAATTATTCAAGAAAGAGAAAAGATCCCTCAAAATAAGTGCGTCATAAACAGATGTCAAAAAGAGCTTTAAAGCTTATTGTATTCCTCCAGTATAAATGAATATTCAGATTCTGAAAGTCTTAGGGTCCACACAAGAAAAGGTCCGGTTACCCATCGTACAGAGATGTGACCTGGGCACAAACAACAGGGCAGAAATGGAAGACTGAAGTACTCTTGCTGGAACATATGGGTGAAGGAGGTCCTGTATATTTGAGGGAGCAGCGTCATGAAGGTCCATGGAGGTGAGGAGACAAATCTTGAACTCTACCCAAAACTGGACCGGCAGGCAATAGAGAGATGCCAGCACGTGGGTAATAGTTCAGTAACAAGTGTGCACTCGAGAATTCTGACAGTCGCATTCTGCACATGTTGAAGGTGACTTAACAGTTTAAGTAGAATGCCAGCAAACAGTGAACTGAAAAATGTAAATAAGAGAAAACAAATGCATGAACCAGCTTCTCAGTGCTCAATCGTGAAAGGATGGGTTGCAGCCTGCCTATATTTCTAAGATGAAAAAGGAAGCCTTAGTGATCTTGATCATGTGTGCTTTAAAGGTTAATGAGGCATGAAGACAACATCAAGGCTGAAAACTGCCTGAGCAGCACCAATATTGTGGCAATCGACTGTCAGACAGACTGAACCAGCCTAACAAAGTTAGTGTGGGATCCCAGCAAGCAACGCCTTTGTCTCATCACCACTTAGCTCAAGAAAATTGGATTGGATCCAATCCTTGATATTGATGAGAGAATATGACAGACTAAAAGCAGATAGTTTAACACGTAGGCTTTCTCGATAAATATTATCCGTAAGAAGTTTTTTGGGTTAGATAGCGTAAATGGAAATGTGTTGTTAAACCCACCACGTGAACAAAACATGCCAATTTGTTACAAGTTCAGCACACCGGTGTGTTGGAGAGTAAACCCGCAACATTTATTATTTGAGTATGACGTTTCGCCGGCAATTACAACCAGCCTCATCAGGCAACAGCCAGAGTTGTGGAGAAATCAGCAGAGTTGTAGAGAAAAAGCAATACCTTCAAGTACACTAAAACCCTCAGTTTGGTTTAAATATGTGGACACATTGGTGGTCTGGCCACAAGGTAAAGATACACTTAATGAATTAGAAATTCTCAATTCGCAATACCGGTTCATCCAGTTCACCATGGAAGTGGACGTGGATAATACACTCCCATGTCTAGATATTCTGCTCGGACACAGCCGAAACGGTCAAATAACGCACAGCGTTTACGAAAAAAGATAGACTGATGCCTATCTGAATGTAGAGTCACACCATCACCCCGCACAAAAATACTCTCATCAAGACACTGATACATCGGGCTAAGAAAGTGTCAGATGGTGAAATTCTGAGGAGTGAGATTAAACATATTATAGAAGCACTGCAATTAAACGGTTAGAATGATACACAAATCAACAGGGCACTGAATGCCAAAACAAATAAAAAGCACAAGTGTTGAAATTGAACAAGTAATTAAAACTATTAAAATATTGTACATTGCGGGAGCAAATGATAACAAAGCCAGATATTTTGGAAAACACAAAACATCTAAGTGAGATTTGGCACGGTATATAAAACACAAAAATAATATCTGATACTGAAGATGTACTGTAAGAGCCTTCCCAAATTTGAGATGTCGAAAAAAAAGTGAGACTTATTATCGGGAGATAACGGTAATGTGCATCATTTACAATAAATGTAAAAAGACAGCGCTTGTGATAACATTACTGCAATGTTATATTATATATTGTTATACATGCTTGAACATTTGTGCAGATAATCTAAAGTTTACTCTGTAAATCTACTGTCATGATCTATCCACTGCTGTACCAAGTTCTACCCTGACCATCACAATATCTTATGGTCCTGTGATGTAACAAACCACCTAGCATCTGTTCCATCTCCACTCTGGATATTCTCCTTTGGCTGCAACTCTATAGTTCTCGATAAACTATCATCCCATCAAACAACCTGTCCTGCCCAACTTATATTTCTTAACACATTACAAGGTGATACTCCTTCAGTAGTGATGCACAAGCACAATGAACAAAATTCACATTTGCCAAAAACACTGCCTCAGGAAAAATATATATAATAGTCAACATTTTTAAAAATTACCCTTCATAGAACAGAAGGGACATTGCCCAAAACGTCGCATGACTTACTAATGGGCAAGAACAAAATCAACCACAAGAGCAAGCTGGATTTAGAATAGTTTTATCTACTATTGAACATTTACAAGATCTTGTAAAGCAGGGCCTAAGTTACAAAACATACTCCGAAAAATAATAATTGACAAAAACATAACTGCGATTGGATGGAATTGTAACAAAATATATATTACAAGGAGGAAAACATGCTTCGAAGTTATTCAGAGCAACATTAGATTTTTTTTTTATAAATAGGCATAGTTACAAATTTAGCAAATAATAGACATCTCAGGTTTGCTGATAACAGTCAATACAATAACTAATGGAAAACGTACTTCAGAGAACATTATCAATTTATTATTTTATTCTCATTCTACGTGACTTTACCGAAAGAACCAAAGAAGATGAATCCTTGCAGTCACGAAAGCTTTAAATCGAAAAATTAGCTGAGAGTTCAACAAGTTTGTTTCAAGATAAATTAGCAACTGAAACGTCACTTACATACTTAACCAAACAATTGAAAATATCTCTTGGAGAGACACAACTGCAAAATACATTGATAACATTTTTGACATGCGTTTTTCTGGATTTTTGTTGTTGTTATTCTGTCTCTCACTGTTCAAATAAACCTAACATAAAAAAATATAGACAAACGTACAAAATCAGCAGGGGATCAAATACTTTTTTCCCTCACTGTATTACCGAAGATATCAACAGAAGGTGTGTACCAAATTAATTTTTCCTGTGGCAAATGCTATGTTAGTCAGACGGGACGAATGATCGGCATGAGACTAAAAGAACACCAAAGGAATATTAAATACTCCCAAACACGACTGTCGGTAGTGGCGAAAAACACGTGCCAACAAGGGCACTAAATTGGTTTTGGTAGTGTTGAGGGTTTGTGCAAAACTAGTTACTACTGGCCAAGACTAATTAGATAATCTATTGAAACCGAGAAAATGTTTTGTATATAATTTTAGCTCCAGGCTTAGTGCTGCTTGGAAGCGTATTATCAAGTCATACACTGTTTAACTGCATGCCTATACAGGTCACCATACATCGAATGCGATTAATTGTGAGCAGCCAATAACAGGTATTGCAATTTTTGCACCCAAAAACAGCAGACTGTACATATGTAGTGAGTCACTTCTGAGACACTAATAGTAGGAGGCAACACACGTTTATTCCACACCTTTGGATACTGTTCACACACGAGATAACTATAAACGAGTCAGAACAGCCAGCACGCTATCTGACCCATGACGCCGGAAACAAAGACGTAGCACCTTGGATTCCATTCCACCGACAGTCAGCCTCAATCCAGCCTCGGGTCTTCCCTTTTATGCCCCCCGGCGTGGCCTGGCTCTGCTCTTGGCCACGCCCCCTTCTGGAACCCACCAGAAGGTTCTGGGCTCTACCTCACGTGTCCCCTCGGTCATCTTTGCCCCACATCCTTTACCCCGGCAGATCACGTGCTCCACCAGCCGGCAGAGGTGCCACGTCCTCATATGCCCCCTTCTGCCAGCAGCCAGCGCCACGCACCCTAGTGACCCACTCCGTGGCATTGCATGCTCTGCTGGCAGAACGGCTGCCACATCCTGCTCTGCTGGCAGGTCGGCCGTTACGCCCACATTCCCTCTCTCTGTCAGTAACCAGCGCTACGTGCCGTAGTGACCCATTGTATGTCACTACACATACATAATGTGCACGTATAATTTTCATGTGTGATGTACATACATTATGTATGTTGTGTATTTGTGAATAACCCATCCAATAATCGATATGAATACATTACCCCCCACCCCACCCCCTCTGGTCTTTGCACCTGATTGGCTCCCAAGTAAGAACATTTGCCTTGTTCATAATATATGCATAAATTAGGATAAAAACTGGAAGTCATACATGAAGGAAACTAAGTTAGAGGTAAGCTACTCAAGGATGTAAGGTTTGCAGATGATCACGGGATGGTGGCAAGCAGAGAAGGATTGCAAAGGTTGATGGATGGTTTACACAACATGGAAAAGGAATATTGTATAAATATTCCCATGAACAAAAAAAAAGTGAAAATAATATCAACGAAAAGAAGAGTAAAACTAATATTATGATGGACAACTTGTAAAATAGGTGAAGATACTGAGGTACGTATATGCATTGATTATGGAAATGGATGGTGTGTAGTGGAAATAATATCAGCAAGAGGAAAGAGTTGTTCAAAGAATGTTGATTTGAAGCTTTCGTGACTACAGGAATCCATACTCTTTGGTTCTTTCGGTAAAGTCACATAGGTATAAATAAAACAAAATTAATCACGACGTTTCGAACGCAACACAAGCGTTCGTCTTCAGGTGAAAATCGCAATAGCCGCGATGTCTGCTGTGAGCAGCACGATGTCTGCTGCCTTGTGAAGAGAAGCTGTTACCAGCAAGAGTTTGTATAAGTTTTGAGAACAAAAGTAGCCGAAGTAGTGTTAATGAGGTATTATAGTGCAAAGGTAATAAATAGCGTGGCATGTTAATGGAAATTAACTTAGATTAGCATGTTGGATTATAGTGTAAAGCTAATGAGCTTTTGTAGCGCATAAGAGCTCAGATTAGCATGTAGGATTAGCATATGTATTTTTATGAGAGAAACATGTAAAAGTTAATGAAAAAATTAGCAAGTTAATGTCAGTCTATGTGTAACAAAGAATAGCATGTTAAAGTTAATGAGAAAAGCATGTAGAAGTAAATGAGTGAAGTTAATGAGAATATCATGTTAAAGTCAATGAGAGATGAGCAAGTCGATGCAGTCATGCCGATGGTTGCATGTCCATGTGTGAAAAAAGTAGCCGTGTAAGCGATCTAAAAGATGACCGTGCTAACGCGTGAGGGTGCGGAGCATGCTCCTGTTACGGAGCCCCTGCTACGGAGCTCGCTGCTGTGGAGCTTCGCTGTTGCGGAGGTTCGCTGTTGCGGAGCTGGTTGCTACGGAGCTCGCTGCTGCTGTGGAGATGGCTGCTGCGCTGCAAGAGGAAGATTGGTCAGACCAGGTTGCGGAGCCAGTCGCTGCGCTGGTTAATCACGTCCTTCCAATGGTTGCTCAGCTTAAACCCGTCCTCTCAGTTGAAGTGGTCTCTATGTTTGTATATCTGGATAGCTTCATGTACAAATCTTTGAACGTAACCAGAAGGTTTTCAAAGTACCTTGGTCTCAGAAAAAAACAATATCGTACGAGCCCACAGCATTATAACAATGGTCAGCTACGGCAGAGGTATTGGTTCTGCCGTGTTTCAGATCTGCCTTGTGTTCTCGGACACGGTCCGAGACATGTCGTTTCGTTTCCCCAATGTAACTGCTACCCCAGGTACAACTCAGTTTGTAGACCACAGCGTATTGCATGTCAGGAATGATATCCTTCACAGATGGGATCAGATCACGGATTTTGTGTACTGTATTGAATCGGACCTGGATCTTGTGCTTGTTTAGGATTTTGGAAATCTTTTTGGTGACACGTGCTATGTACGGTAAGGTGATTGTTTTTATTGGATCCTCAGAAGGTTGTCTCCCCATGGTTGGAGATACAGCTTTGCGGATTGTGCGGTCCGAGTATCCATTCATCTTGAGGACTTGGTGTACGTGCTCCAGTTCAGTGGCTAGGTGGCGCTGGTCGGAGATGCAGTGAGCACTATGGTGTAGTGTTTTGATGAGGGAATTATTCTTGGCCAGGTGGTGGTAGGAATCAGGTTTCAGATAAGAATCAGTGTGGGTAGCTTTCCTGTAGACAGAATGTCCCAACGAGCCATCAGGCCTCTTTTCAATCAAAAAATCCAGGAATGGTAGCTTAGCATCCTTCTCCACTGCCATGGCGAATTTGATGGATGGGTGTATGGAATTGATGTGGTTGAGAAATTGGTTCAGTGCTGGTTGGCCATTTCGTTAAATGACGAAAATGTCATGTACGTATCTCTTCCACAAGGATGTAGGGTGGATGTCAGGATGGCATCTGTTTCAAATTTCTCCATGAACGCATTAGCTACCCCTGGTGAAAGGTGGGAACCCATGGGGGTATCTTCATTTTGTTTGTAGAAAGTACCATTCCAGGTGAAGTAAGTGTTGGTAAGGCAGTGCCTCACTAAAGTTGGTACATCAGGATTCAGTCCCTGTTGGACCAGGTCTTCAATGATTGCTATGGTGTCAGGTACAGGAACCTTGGTGAACAGAGAGACTACAACAAAACTGACAAGCAAATCATCTGGAGACAGAGAAATGTCCTTGATCAGAGAAACCAATTGAGTTGAGTTAAGTACTGCCGAGGTAGTCTTGCCAGTGAAATGAAAGCAAGGTCTCAGACAAGAATCGGGCCAGTTTGTAGGTAGGCGAGTTGATGGTGAAAACGATGGGATGGAGTGGGTACCTTCTTTATGGAGTTCTACCTACGTGACTTTACCGAAAGAACCAAAGAGTCTGTTCACAGAATGTCAAGATGATAGTGTTGAACGTAGGCTTGCATGGAGCAGAAACATGACCACTGAAAAGGATTAAATAAGATCGTTGGAAAAAAATGACTAGTGGATATGGAGAAGGATGCATAAAGCTGGACAGAGAAAACCAATGAAATAATACAGATTATAAAATGTTGACGTTTTACCTAAATCCCTGAAAAAATTTACATTTTCTGGTTATGTATTTTGTTCGACCAAGTTATAACATTTGTTTACAATGCAAAGAAGTCAATCCTACTGGTTTAAATAATACAAAAAAAATCTTACCTGTTGATATGTTATATTTTGAATGAGCCATACAAATATTCTGTGTCAAAGAAAGGATGTGCATCCTTGCTCCATCGGGCTTGAGGGATTCCATTATCTTTTTCATGAGCACTGCAATAAAAAGAGTACTGAATTATAATAACCATTCAAATTTTCACAAAATAATGAAATAATGATGGGGATTCCTTGGTTATATGAGAGGCAACCTGGGAAATGTTAACAACTTATATGTGTATATATTTAAGACAATCTATGCTAGTTTTGTTGAAACACTTTACAATCCACTTTGAATTAAATTTATTATTTCACCGCAGATGGTCACACAATTAACTTAGTAATGTACTTTTTTCCTGCTCTTTTTCTGCCTATTATGAACAAATATAATTTTTTAATGAAATTTTCTGGGTTATAACATTATTACCTTCATATTTCACCTTAAATGATAATATCGACACTGCAATATTTTTTATGAGGCAAAATGGGGTTGGAGTTGTCCTGAGTGAGGAGATGAAGACAAAGGTGGTGGAAGAGTGAATGACAGACTGATGACAGACTGGTACTGGACAGTAGAGTTGTAAATGTAAATGTGGTGTGTGCGTATGCCCGCAGATGGGCTGGAGTGGACAAGAGAAAGATTAATTTTGGGTGAGCTTAGACCAGAAGCAGTGGTAATGGGCATAGACTTAAATGGAAGAGAGGGAAGAAGGATGGATATGAAAGTAACCATGGAGGATGCAGATATAGCAGTAGGAATGGGGGAGGAGAGGACATTCTTCGAATGGCCCAGACAAATAAACTTGCAGTGATGAATACCTACTTCCAGAAGCTGGAGGGACATTTGATGACCTACCAGAGTGCAGAGGTAAAGAACAGTTCCACTGCTGGATTATATTTTTTTCCGCCTGAGGACAACCGCTTGTGTTGCGATCGAAACGCTGTGATTTATTTTATTTTATACCTACGTGACTTTACTGAAAGAACCAAAGAGTATGGATTCCTGCAGTCACGAAAGCTTCAAATCAAGATTGAGCCAGATAGATTTTATGTTGGTGAGGCAGAAGCACTTTAAAGGAGTGAAGAACTGGAAAGCTATCAACAGAAGGTGTGTACAGGATTAAATGCACGTGTGGTAAATGTTATGTTGAGCAAATAGGACAGCACGAGACTAAAAGAACATCAAAGAAATATTAAATTCTCACAAATGCAACTGTCAGCAGTAGCAGAACACGCGTGCCAACAAGGACACTCAATTGATTTTGATAATGTTAAAGTTTCGTGCAAAACTAGCTACTACTGGCCAAGACTAATTACATAATCTATCGAAATTGAAAGAAATCAAAATAACTTTAACCATTCGGATATCTACCGCCTTAGTGCTGCGTGGAAGCGAATCATCAAATAATACATTATTTAAATGCATGCCTACAAAGGGCAGCTTACTTCATTAGGGATTACCGTTGGTACGGCTATTCTAATACACACAATCGACAGGAAGGACAAGTTCAAAGGGCTCGCATAATGCATAATGTACGTTGCCTCAGTAATCCCCCCCCCCCCCACGTGGCAAAAGAGTGCAGAAGCGTGTTCACCATATCTACGCCTCTATATAAGGAACGAAACAGTTAAGACTTCTCCACAAATCTGGCTGTCACCTGATGAAGCTAGTTGCAATTACTGGCAAAACGTCGCACTCAGATTGTAAATGTTGTGGCTTGGCTCTCCAACACACCGGTGCACTGTACTAGTGAGGAATTGACACGTTCTGTTTATGTGACAACCCGTACAAGTTAGCTGTCGGGTGGTGGTGGGTTTTAACGACACATTTATATATTTACGCGATCTAATAAAAAAAAACTCTATTATTGAAGATGGTATATTGTTTGGCAAAAGCCAGAGAGAGAAAGACCAGTGACATCGACCATGTGAATCTCGTTAAAAACAATGAAGCACGAACAATCTTGGATGAGATTAAGGTTAGAGAGAGATGGAAAGTGTACTTTGACAAGTTGCTGAATGTATAAAGCCCAAGACACGAAATTGTTGCAGAACATCAAAGAATCGAAGTAGTTGCAGATACTATAATGAGAGAAGAGGTGGTGGAGGCTCTGGGGAGCATGAAACATCAAAAGGCAGCGGGGCCAGATACGATTCCAATTTGATGTGTTCAAATTAATGGGACAAAAGGGTGTTTAAATATTGATGGGGCTGTTTTGTCAAATCTGGATGGAAAAAAACAGATGCGTGGAGAGTACACTGGTTTCCATCTTTAAAGGGAAAGGCAATGTACAAGAGTGTAGGAACTACAGAGGAATAGCATTGATGAGTAACACCATGACACTCCTGAAAAGGATCATAGAAAAGAGACTGAGAACGCTGGTGGATATTAGCAAGAGTCAGTTTGGATGCAGACAGGGAAGGTCAAAAATGGATGCAATATTTGCACTGAGAGTTTTGATGGAGAAGTTCTGAGAAAAGAAATGAGACCTCCATGTGGCAAGGACAGCTGACCCCACATGAGGGGGACAAACGCGTTGAAAAAGACTCCATAATTCTGCACTCTGAGAGCCGCTCAAATTCATCAGCGTTGGTGGAATTCACAGAGGTGAAAAAAACTATTTTATTTTACCAGGTAAGGCCCACTGAGCTATATAGCTTTATTTCAGAAGTGACCTGGCCAGGGTGTCATCTCCAGAGGAAAAGTAGTTGACACCAAAACTCTCAAGGAGATGACCAATAAGAGATGTGTAGGTCGCAAACAACAGGAGGCCAAAGAAAAAACTGTTGAGGGATTCATACTCTTTGGTTCTATTCGGTGAAGTCACGTAGGTAAAAAATAAAACAACAAAAATCACGACGTTTCGGCCACAACACAATCGGCCTTCATCAGGTGAAGGGACCAGGCTGTCTCGAGGACAGCGCTGGAGTGAAACACAGCCACGCTCAGACCGCGACCTTTAAGCTGTGTGCGAGGAAACAAGGTGCCTTGACAAAGGAATTAGCATAAAAATTAGCATTTGATTGGCCGAATTAGCATAGAGGTGGTGTACATGCGGGTGCACTTGCTGTTTGGCGCGGAGGGGGGGGGAGGGGGAGTTTACCTATTGATGGTGTGAAAAGGGAATTTATAAGAGCTGCGAAAGTTTGGGGTACTTGAAAAATACACTGTACCATTGAAAATTAGTTTAATGTTTGGTTCGATTTAGAACATCTTTCCAATGGTTGCTTAATTTGAAACCATCTTCTCGGTTGAAATTGTGTCTGTGTTTGTAGATCTGAATTGCCTCGTGAACAAATCTCTGATAAAAACCCGGGGGTTTGCAAAGAACCTTGGTACCGGAGAAAATTATATCGTGATCACCCACAGTGTTGTAACAGTGATCAGCTACGGCAGAAGAATTCGTTTTGCCGTGTTTCAAATCTGATTTGTGCTCGCGAATTCGGTCAGAGACATGTCACTTTGTCTCCCCGATATAGCAATCACCGCAGGTACAACTCAATTTGTAAACCCCGGGGTACTGTAAGTCAGGAATGACATCCTTCACGGATGGGATCAGATCACGAATTTTGTGTACTGTATTGAACTTGACCTGGATCTTGTGTTTGTTTAGAATTTTGGAAATCTTTTTAGTAACGCCTGCTATATATGGTAGTGTGATGGTTTTGACCGGAGTATCAAGTGGTTGTTTCTGTATGGAGGGAGAAACAGCTTGGCGGATGGTACGGTCAGAGTATCCATTCCTTTTGAGGGCCAGGTGTACATGTTTTAATTCACTGGTCAGGTGGTGTTGGTCTGAAATGCAATGAGCCCTATGGTATACAGTTTTGATGATAGAATTCTATTGGTCTGGGTGGTGGTGGGAATCAGGTTTCAAGTAGGAATCTGTGCGGGTGGGTTTCCTGTAGACAGAATGCCCCAATGAGCCATCAGGTCTCCTCTCAAACAGAACATCTAAGAATGGTAGCTTGCCATCTTTCTCCACTTCCATGGTGAATTTGATGGTGGGATGTCTGGAATTTATTTGGTGTAGGAAAAGGTTCAGAGCTGGGAGGCCATGTGGCCAAATGACGAAAGTGTCATCCACATATCTCTTCCACAGGGAAGGTCTGAGGGTGAAAGTCTGGATGGCATCTGATTCAAATTTCTCCATGAAAATATTGGCTATCACTGGTGACAAGGGGGATCCCATGGGGGTAACCTCATTTTGTTTGTAGAAGGAGCCATTCCAAGTAAAGTAGGTATTGTTGAGGTAGTGCCTAACCTGTGCAGGTGTATCGGGGTCTAGTCCTTGTTGGACAAAATTTTCAATTATTTCAATGGTATCAGGTACTGTTACCTTGGTGAACAAAGAGACCACATTGAAGCTGACAAGGATATCGTAAGGGGACAATACAACGTCTTTGACCATAGAGACCAATTGGGCTGAGTTAAGTACTGCTGAGGCGGTCTTGCCAGTGAAAGGCAGCAAGGTATCTGACAGAAAACGGGCTAGTCTATAGGTAGGGGAGTTGATCGTGGATACGATGGGTCGTAGTGGGGTGCCTTCTTTATGAATCTTGGAAAGACCATAGAATCTAGGGGGTCTTGCAGCAGAAGGTTTTAGGGAGGGACGTTTAGTTGGGTCGATTAGGGAGGTCGAACTTGTGATGATCTTGTTGGTTTTTATCGCTAGGCTATTGGTAGGGTCAGTTTTTTATTTTTGAGTAACTTCCATCGTTGAGCAGATTCTGGATTTTGTTGTTGTATTAATCTTTATCCATAATTACAGTAGCGTCGCCTTTATCGGCTGAGAGGATGACTATATCACTTCTGTTTTTCAAATTCGCGAGTTCAGAGCGTTCATTTTTGCTGATGTTACTAATGAGTTTCTTAGCATTCTTAAGAATAGTGGCTATTTCAGCTCTCGCAACGTCTGCTTGGATGTGTCCTACGCCTTTGAGTGCTACATCGACCTGAGAGATGATATCATCTATTGGTATGTGTTTTGGGGTGACAGCAAAATTTAGTCCCCTAGCCAGTACTGTTTTCAGATTGTCCGAAATCGGGGCGCTACTCTGATTAATGAGATTTTGTTAACATCTAGTTTTGTTATATGTGGAACTGGGTTCTTCTTTGATAGGTGGTTGAATTTAGAAATCAGGTTAGCTTTACATTTGACTGACAGTGAATCAGCAGAAGAAGCAGTCATGTTGTCTACGTGATTCCAATCAGAAGGTGACATTTTTTGTGTTAACATTAAATGAGCTTGTAGGAGATTCACACTACCATATATAGCAGGTGTTACTAAAAAGATTTCCAAAATTCTAAACAAACACAAGATCCAGGTCCGGTTCAATACAGTACACAAAATTCGTGATCTGATCCCATCCGTGAAGGATGTCATTCCTGACTTACAGTACCCCGGGGTTTACAAATAGAGTTGTACCTGCGGTGATTGCTATATCGGGGAGACAAAGCGACATGTCTCTGACCGAATTCGCGAGCACAATTCAGATTTGAAACACGGCAAAACGAATTCTTCTGCCGTAGCTGATCACTGTTACAACGCTGTGGGTGATCACGATATAATTTTCTCCGATACCAAGGTACTTTGCAAACCCATGGGTTTTTATCAGAGATTTGTTCACGAGGCAATTCAGATCTACAAACACAGACACAATTTCAACCGAGAAGATGGTTTAAAATTAAGCATCCATTGGAAAGATGTTCTAAATCGAACCAAACATTAAACAAATTTTCAATGGTACAGTATATTTTTCAAGTAGTGGTACCCCAAACTTTCGCGGCTCTTAAAAATTCCCTTTTCACGCCATCAATAGGTAAACTCCCCCTCCCCCCCCCCCGCGCCAAACAGCAAGAGCACCCGCACGTACACCACCTCTATACTAAGTCGGCCACTCAAATGCTAATTTTTATCCTAATTCCTTTGTCAAGGCACCTTGTTTCCTCGCACACAGCTTAAAGGTCGCGGTCTGAGCGTGGCTGTGTTTCACTCCAGCGCTGTCCTCGAGACAGCATCATCCCTTCACCTGATGAAGGCCGCTCGTGTTGTGGCCGAAACGTCGTGATTTTTGTTGTTTTATTTTTTACCTACGTGACTTTACCGAATAGAACCAAAGAGTATGGATCCTTGCAGTCACGAAAGCTTTAAATCTAGAATTGTAAAGGGATTCTGCACGAGAGCATTGGTTTCTACAGATTATGAATTACCCACTCTGATTGGCAAACGCATGCCTGAGAGGTAGAACATATGCCACTCAAGGGCTTGGCCACTGATACTAAAGTCAGAATCTAGGAGGCCAATGAGGAGGCTGGTTAATTGTGTCAAAGGCTACAGATGTCTAGTACATTGAGTGATTACACTGGAGTCCACAATGGAATGAATCTCACCGATGACCCTTGTCAGTGCAGTCTCAGTGGAGTAGGTCTGACAAAAGATGAACTGAAAAAAAACAACAATTTGGAGAAGAGGGAATATGGGCCCTAATCTGGGCGAAGGCAAGGTTAAAAGGTTGATAATGGGTCTATACTTGCTGGTTCATCGGAATTGAGGCCTGAATTCGTGAGTGGTGGGGTGAATTCACCAGTTTGTAGGAAGATAGGAAATGTTCAAATGTGATATGGGCATTGGCGATAATAATAGAGATATTTGTAGCACAGGTGGTGATGGTTTAGAATTTTGTTAATACATTGGCACATTTAAAGAATATCTTTATAAAGGTAATCTTTTCAGGTTGTGGAGGGTTATTGACGGGAATTTTGCAATAAAACGTATGTGGCCTTATCCCAAATACAAATATGGATCACCAATGCAGACTCTGTAAAGTGTATGTAAACATTTGTGGAAAGCTAAGAATTATAAATATATATAGTTATAGTGGTACAAACCTGATCCACCATTTTCCATGTATGCTTCAAAGAGCACTTCTTTATCTTTTTCTGGGCGCTCTAATTGAAGAATATCCAACAAGCTCTGCAGCAGAGGCACTGCTGACCTGTCAAAGCTGTGGAACAGTGGAGATAAATACATGGAGGGGGAAAACATATCATTGTGTTCATACTCGTTATACCTATTACTATAATCATTTAATAACCACACTTGTCACATTGGCAGTGTCATTTACTTATAAGCTGGTGTGGCATGTGGCAAGAGTGGACTGATATGCATTTAGTACCTGGGCAACAATACTGTTTTGAACAACTCATTAAATAAGTCATCATGTAAAGCATGATAAAAGTCCCATTATGGCTTTTTAAGAAAAAAATCATGTTACCAGTAATCACATGCATACAACTGTTGATTGTAAAATAATACCACAGACATCGATATGTTTTATAAAATATATATGAATTGAACAGATGGCTGGGGGTGAGTTAGAGTCAATTTGGATAGATGCACTTGATTATGAAAAGCAACATACCAATTTGTGTAAAGCACATTTTTTATCAATGTGTACTACCTGCATAGAAATGGATAAGAAAATTGCTCAAATAAGCATGCAATTACAAGACGAAGCAGAAAAAGTAAGACATGGATTCGAGAATGTATGCAGGCTAAATACATAATTCAACCTGTTAAGATGAGTGAGTGGGCCTGGGCAGGCTACATTGCTATGAGGGTTGCTGGCTTATGGTGGAGACTAATGGCGAAAGGCAACAAGCAAGAAGACATGCCAGAGCACGTCTATTGTGGAGGTGAGGTAATGAATCAGCCCTTTGCAGGTGTTGTAAATTGTAACATTGTAGGAGTGAAAGAGATAGCAATGTTTTGTGGTTGTAATCCTAGTACTTCGGATGCACCAAGGGATCGTGTCCAAATTTGACGAATTTGTTCTTAGTGCAGTAATTTTCACCTTGAATTAATCTCAGCGAGGCAGGTTTGAATGCATTTCAAAAGCAATTATCTTATTTTATATGTCGGATCTCTCTGAACAGTTTTGTCATGTTTTCTGATTGTGGTTTAGCATTTGTTTTCTCATTTAAATACATTTGTAGATCACTGAGATCATATCAACGTTAACATGAAAAGTCAAATGATTTGGAATTTTTATTAGGTAGAACGATATCATTATGGTATTGTCCAGGATTATGCATGAAATCGTGAGTTTTTGTTGCCAGAAAAAAGGGGAAAACCCCTATTATTATATTGTTGAAATTATTTTGTGTTTCAGAGCCTGCCCTCCCACTTTACAACTCAAGTTGGTCAAATTGTTTTGGTAGGAATGCTCAGCGGCTGCATAAGTTGCTCCCAAACCTGAAGGATGTGACATAGGATTAAGTATTCATTTATTTTTATTTAACGCTTTCGTGACTGCAGTGATTCATATTCTTGGTTCTTTCGGTAAAGTCACGTTGAAGTGAAACAATAAAATATATATAAAACAATAAAATTCTCACGACGTTTCGACTGTAACACAAACAGTCATCATCAGGTGTGAAAACCAACGGCAAGAAACATTTGAAAGAAGTGCTGGTCCGCATTTATTTATTTATTTTAAAAAACGTTAGCGCCACGGATAGCGATTTGACAGTTTCTTTAGATGGACGAGTCCATGGACGAGTCCATCTATGTTCAGAAAAGAGGAGGGGGGAGACGAAAAATTTATGTATGCTGTCTGCCACCGTAAGCGTGAACAATCAATTAAGACCCGAAATGGTTTATCAAATCCTTCCAATGATTGCTAAGCCAGAATCCATCTTCCATGAAGAAGGACCCTCTTGAGGAGCCTTTCAAAACCATCAATTTACCCTACATTGCGGGGATCACAAAAAAGATCTCCAAAATCTTGAATAAACACAAGATCTAGATCTGTCACAACACATTGCATAAAATCCGTGATCTGGTTCCATCTGTAAAAGATGTTATTCCGGACATACAGTACCCTGGTGTCTACACACTAAGTTGCCTCTGTGGTAGTAGTTACATTGGCTAAACCGAACGACATGTCTCGGGACCGCATTCGTGAACACAAAGCAGACCTTAAACACGGTAGGACCAACACCTCGGCCGTGGCAGATCACTGTTATAATTCAGTAGGCCGTGGCAGATCACTGTTATAATTCAGTAGGCTCACATGACATTGACTTCTCCAAGACAGAGGTTCTTTGTAAGCCATCTGGCTACCATGAGAGATTCGTTCATGAGGCTATCCACATATACAAGCACAGAGACAATTTCAACCGAGAAGATGGATTCTGGCTTAGCAATCAATGGAAGGATTTGATAAACCATTTTGGGTCTTAATTGATTGTTCACGCTTACGGCGGCTTTCAGACAGCATACATACAATTTTCGTCTCCCCCCTCCTCTTTTCCGAACATAGATGGACTCGTCCTTCTAAATAAACTGCCAAATCGCTGCGCGTGGCGCTAACGTTTTTTTATAAATAAATACACCGTTTAAAAATAAATAAATGCAAACCGACACTTCTTTCAAATGTTTCTTGCCGTTGGTTTTTCACACCTGATGATGACCGTTTGCGTTATGGTCGAAACGTCGTGAGATTTTTTTTGTTTTATATATATTTTATTATTTTATTGTTTCCCTTCAACGTGACTTTACCGTAAGAGCTAAGAATGTGAATTTATGCAGTCACGAAAGCTTTAAATAAAAAAATAGATGGACTCATCCATCTAAAGAAACTGTCAAATCGCTATCCGTGGTGCTAACGTTTAAAAATAAATAAATACAAACCGCCACTTCTTTAAAATGTTTCTTGCTGTTGGTTTTCACACCTGATGATGACTGTTTGTGTTACAGTCGAAACGTCGTGAGAATTTTATTGTTTTATATATATTTTATATTTTGTTTCCCTTCAACGTGACTTTACCGAAAGAACCAAGAATATAATATTCATTTATTTTGTTTACTTTTAACCTGAAACTAAGTCAAGCTTCCATGTACCAAAAGTAGGATTATATATTTGTTTTACTGCTTTTACCAGGTTTTCTTGTGGTACCCATGTATGCAGGGACTCTATCCTAGCCATTGCTTATTGGAGCAGAGTTTGAATGTTTAAAACCACATTGCAATAAATTAAGGGGTGTTCATGCTTACAAACTTAAAGAAGAGCCAATTGAATAAAGGGAGTCAAAGAAATTGGTGATAAAATCAGAAAATCACAAGTGAGAATTCGGTCTCCGGAGTAAATTGGTTGGGATGTATGTGGTTGAGATCACAGCAGCTTGTAAAGCCTTATGTTCATTTATGGTTATTGTACTCGAAGATATGGATAGATAATTTCATGTCATTGCATACTAGAAAAGTCATTGCAAAATTGTTTTGCGTAATAAAGTCAATCAAAAATCAAAGCTTAGTATATTACTAATATCAACTCAATTAAATTCGTAATGAGGTCAATTAAATGCTCATGAGTTCATGAATTCATTGTACAAAAAAATGTACGTATGTCATTGTATAAAATTATGAAGCAACATCTTTTCCAAGGCAAATGTAGGTGGTTTAAATATTTTATTGTCAATTTAAAACTAAACTTTAATACATTTCCATAAAAGTTAGATTTGAATTATGACAAATAATATATGTCGCTCACCAACTGAGTTCCATAAGGTCCGTTAAAATGCTCATTAGAGGACCCGTTACCCTCTTCCACTCTATTCCTGTAAACAATGACAACGAAATTATGGTCAGACATACGACCTGTAATACGCATCAATAAGTGGAAAAAGATATGTTGATATCGACACATACGCTATATTTCAAAAGCAAATCTCAACAAAATGTAAAAAATAAAAATACGTTTAATAAGCATGCAATTACGAATTTCGTAATGCGTTTTTCTGTCGTGAAATCATTGTGAAATAAATAGTTAAGAAAAAAAGGTAGCAAAATGTGGAGTCTTGAAGTGGAACATGGTTCCATTGAAATTTTATTTCACACTTTTTATCGTAATTGTCTGCATGCACAAGGACAAATATTGCTGTGGAATTTTTAATGCGTGTTTTTTTCTGTTTTGGAAAGATACATTCAGAGTACAATTAAAGAAAAATAGCCTAACAGGAGATGCAATACAATTTGGATTTACATCACGTATAAATGCCACTACATTTTTGTCTGCTCATGAAAAACATATTAAAACAGACTTCAACAATGGTTTACGGCACAACTAATTACAACACAACGAATTATTGTTTTAAATGGCCATGTAGCATGGCAGGCCAGTGCTATATCAGCTAATTAGACCTACAAAACTTGTGTAGTGTGGCTCTACAATTGCTTGTTCACATGTATGTAGGTATGTTGAACTTCTTTCGCATTGTAAGTAGCCAACCGCGCTAATCGGAGGTGTGGTGGAAGGACAACAAACTAAAGGTCCTCCACTAGAGCGACCTGTCGAGGGTATTTTGTCTACTGTTACACACTGACCAGAAATTTTGTTATGTGGTGGGTGCACCCACATTTACCCCACTATGATTGACTATAAACTGTGGTTGATGGAGGTGGAGGGATTTGAGAGACATGTCCCAATTGTTTCAACCATTACACCACAGCAGCTACCTATTTTTATTTTACTTAAAGTAGAATTTTTCAAATTATCATTGTTCTGGGAAGCTATTTTCGTGATATATTTGTAACTTTTGTACAATTGTATTGTTGGGTTTTCTGCAGTAAGATATGTTTTGTTTTTTACAGACTGTGGGGGCATATTTCACTGTTGCAGAAAGTTCTGCTAACAAGAATGTCACAGCAAATGTTTGTTATTCAAGAGCTACCTATCCCACCCGACAGAGTACTCTCTTGCCCTACAGACTGTGAAAAAGCAAGGCTATCTAATAAATGCAGCCTATCCCAAGTTTAAAGCCAGGTTATGGATTCCACCAAAGTGTCATGATGATAACATCGTTCTGCCAGCTGCGGCCTTCCGTCCGTCCATCCCTCCCTGTGGATGCGGCAATCCATCCATCCCTTAGGATGCGGCCAGTTGGCCAGCCAGCTTCCCCATCCTTGGGTCCCCCTCTCATGCATGACAACCCCCAGGCCCCCCCCCTCCCCACGCCACCAAAATTGGTGAAGCAATTTAATAAAATAATAAAATATACTGCCCCACACTTGGATCAATTGGTATCATGTCTACTTTCACTATGCCACTTCAAATATTATACGACTCTATGTAGAACTCTCACAACCCAGCTGCTGTCTCTTATTCTTAACTGCCTCAACCCTTTTCACCGCCCTTCAAATCCCTTGACTGCCTGAAACTGCCGTTCAACTAACGTAACTGCCCTTAACTGACAGCCTCGTGTCTGTCCGCTGATCATACTCCACATCACAGCCACAAGCTGTCGGGGTGGTGCTCTATCCACTCATTGGTTCTGTTGGTATTCACATTCAGCACGACGAGCTTCCATAAAATATTAAGCGATCCTTCGTGAGATGTAATTAATTAGCCTCGCGCTGAGAGTGAGTGTATGTGCGTGTGTGAAAGTCTTTGTGTGACCTCAGGTCGCCGGGTTCGTAGCACAGCACGCTAACCACTACACTACCACTCTCCACGACGACTCAGCCTCAAATGAGTACATGGTGTGGTATGTAAATATTACCACTGGGGAGGCAAAGGCGGCCAGGTGTGGTGTTGGCCACACACCCCCTTCGTGTGCCGTGCTGGCCTTCATTAGTCCTTGCTAAGAGCACTTGCTCCAACAGTCTGTTAAGACTATACAGGCGATTGTTGTCGTTATGTCTGTGTCTTTGGTGCGTCTGTGTGTGCACGCGTGACCCAATTGAGGTGACTTATTGCGCCCCTTCTAACAAGCAAGCCAGCAAGGTAAGTGAAAATATTTTTTTTCTATTTATGTTACTTTATTTTATGTTTTATTTACTATTCAGTATTTATTAGAGTACTGTATTACATGCAAATATACAATATTTCTCCTTATTTATTAGTTTAACTATACTTCCCTTTTTTGCGGAACTGTAACACATTTAATAACAATGATCGTATGGGCATTTAAATAGTGCATTATCGTGTTCTGATCTACGAACGGTTCGTCTTACAAACAGTTCGACTTATGAATGGTTCTCAGGAACTAATTAATGTATGTCCCTAAGTATAGGACTATCCTACATAATCATATTATTTATTTATACTAGAGGAATCCGATGAGCTATGAAGCTTTTTCACAAATGTCCATAGTGCTGTACTATGCAGTAATTAGCAGGACTGCTGGGCAGTGATCTGTACAGTGATGTAAGTAGTTTAGCATAATAAAGGTTTTCATTATTGTATGCCCTTGAATTGCTTTGAAAGCAACACAAAAAATAGTTCACAATGTTGAACGATTATTACCTTTTATTTCAGCTTCCTGTTCAATTTCTTCTTTAGTCTGGCAATGTAAAAAAGCATTAACATATGATACAACTAACAGGCTTGGTGCTTCAATAGATGTTCAGTATATAAATAATTGATTTATATGCTTCTATAATTGTATTCTGAAAACATTAATTTTGTGGACTGGATTTTTTTATACCAAAAAAAAAAAACCTCAATCCACTGCACAAGCCAGGAAAAATAGAACATTCAGATAAAATAAATATATTAGATATTATGTAGCCTGCTTTATTCTAGCTTTTATCTATTGCTTCATCTACGTAATATTTTGTTTCGATTCACTGACAGTGCTTCACGATTATATATGCAAATCCAAAAAAATAAAAGTAGAAATGTGTGAATATTGATATTGCACATTCAAGTAGAAAACTATTAAAGTATTGCAGAATCTGGACACAGCATGATGTAAATGATCATTGTTCGATGTGCATAAGTATGACATCATGTCTGTCCCATGAGATTATGCTCAGCTTTATCGAATTGATTATATGGGTCATTGGGTATATAAACCCACATACAATATTATAGTCTGGATTTATCAAGCATCAAAATGCAACTACATTTCAACACATAATACAGAACAATGGTACATTGACATTCTCTGGAAAGGATGATGTGTTTTTATATTCATGTAAAGTGGCCTTTCATTAAAAACAGATTAAAAGAGTAAAATATTTTTTATTATGTTTCATCATCTCACCTTTTTCTTCCAGGCACCAACTCCATGCTCCACATTATCCTGTGCCTCCTCGCTTTTCTGGGCATGTTCACATGCTAGAAATAAAAAAATAAGATGAATCGTATATTGTTTACATTAAGCTAACAATGCATTTAATTATAAAATATGCTTCATGTGATCATTTGTTGGGGTGCCCCTCAAAATGTTTTAACACACAGGTTTCACCATGTACAGTATGCTTAATACCATGGTAGTGCTGGATATCCCCGGGCACTTGTCCATAGCAACAAAGCCAGACATCAGTACTGTCGGTGTGCTAAAGGCACCGGGGCCCAACATTAACCAAACACTAAGCCCGAGCAATTGCTGTCAAGGTCGCTCTACCAAAGTAAACTTTTGAGGAAACCTCCATGTCAAAACCATCTGTAGTGGCTGCTCAAGTCGCCGCACAGTGCATTTCCTATATGGACACCGGGCAACAAAGTCCAAAAATTAGCCACCACAGGAGTCGAATGAGCCTGAAGATTCAGGAACTCATCTGTATTTAAGATCTATTAAAAAATAAACTTTTTTAATCCAGGATCCGTTTTATTTTTAGCGGCAATCAGCCTCATCCACCTCCATTGGGAAGCACAAAAAGTCGTCACATTTATGGACCTCTCTATCCTGAAAATATCTCAAACCCTAGGAGAGTGCAACATTTCCCACCTTCCTTGAAGGGTAAGGCACAAAGGCAATATTTATATACCAAAGACAATGTTCTAATTCAGTATTATATCAGAAACCACTTCAGAGCAAAAGGCCACATGTGCACAGACGAATCCTCTCCCTTGTAAATGTCAAATCAACAGTAGGGACTACAACAACATGTGGGACTTTGCCACGCAGTGGAATTGTCCATTTTCTTCACTGCCACGTTGTAAATCCAACACATTTTCAATGATATTGCCTTCAAATGAATAATACATATATTTTGAGTTGTTTTATATTAGTTGTCCTTGTCTACCACTGCCATTGCAGTATCACCCAATTATTTGTTTGCTTTTATCACCATGATATGCTAAACAAGCAGAATTCCTTAAACTGTGATCACTCAATGAGAGTCTCATAGAGTGATTCCACCTCAGGGAATTCCGAGAGCCCTTTCGAGCAAACGCGTAAAATAGGCATAAAAAATCCGACCTCTTTTGTAAAATCAGGACAACAAGCACGTTGTCCTACATGTTTAGTTTGTTATACATTATATGCAAGCAGAGCCTAATAATAGTTATTGACAATGCCATTGACAATCCATCTTTTAGCTCCCTTGTCCAAAACAAACTCTCCCTATAAGAGATATACAAGAACGAAACAAATCTCCACCTTGCTGAAATTAGAAAAAACACGGGGTAGGCTAATGTATCGCAAATTAAGTGTGAGTTGTCGAACACACCCAAATTATTTGTTCCTTCCTGTGGTATTTCTTGCTTCAATGGCTCGTAACCGTACAGCTTCTGCACTTTTGTGGCATCGCAAGAACTCAGGGAGTTGCCGTGTCCCATGTGCAGCATGAGCAGAGGGTTCTTGGGAATGATTGTTGGATTGCGCTCATCCACTGAACCCGCAGTCCTGAATAAACACACGCACGCACATACATTGCATGCTTTTCTAGGTAAATACACAAGAACACAATTATATAGGCTTTCTTGCTATGTGTATTACACATGCATATACGACTGTCTCGTTGGTATGAAAAATATTGATATAAACAATTGAGGAAATATCATACACATGCATGGATTATGTAACACCTTCCAAAATGCATTTGTTTTGGGAAACATGTAACAGTTTGGGTTAGATCGCGTAAATATAAATGTGTCGTTAAACCCGCCACCACCATACATAGCCAATTAGTAAGGTTTGTCACGTAAACAGAACGTGCCAATTCGTTACTAGTAGAGCAACCGATGTGTTGGAGAGTAAATCCACAAAATTTACAATCTGAGTACGATGTTTCACCAGTAATTACAACTAGCTTCATCAGGCGACAATCTGAGTACGACGTTTCGCCAGTAATTACAACTGGCTTCATCAGTAATTACGATTACTGGCGAAATGTCGTATTCCGATTGAAAATGTTGTGGATTTCCTCTCCTAAACACCGGTGTGCTGTACTAGTAACGAATTGTTATGTTCTGTGTACGTGACAAACCTTACTAATTGGCTGTGTCGGGTGGTGGTGGGTTTAATGACACATTTATATTTACGCGATCTAACCCAAAATACATCTATTATGAATGATATTAGTCGTAAAAGCTTATATGTTACACAGCTTGAAAACCATTAGCTGCCAGGGCAAAATGCAATTCTATATTTGCAAATAGTTGTTCTTGTTCTAGATCAATGTGCTTCCATAATTTTCTGAGGGGGGCCACTTTTTCTGATAAGACATCAGTGTGAACGCCGCCACACATTTGAAACCATTGGGTTTGGCAGCATAATGTAGTGTTAGGGGCCGCACTAAAGGCCGTCAGGGGCCGCCAGTTGCCCGGGGGCCCTGGAATGAAGAACACTGCGCTATATTTTGTACCCAAATTTTGGAAAACTTTTAATTAATGTAGCCAGTTTTCACTAAGGTAAATCCCTAATCGCAACACAACTTAAATCTACAGTTTTGTTAATCTTGAATCATCTTTCCAAAAATTGTTATGCCCCCCTGAATGGATGAAGGGTCAGATGGATAGAGGTAATGATAAACACTTTCAACATTTGGAAAACATAAACAAGTATTTTAGTACATGTTATAATGCAATGTGTAACACATGTAAGTGTAATGACTGGGAAATGGGGCATGTGATCGTCTTCTAAACATTTTCGTTAAATTGAATGCAAATTATTCGGTATTGAAAGTTAAGATTTTTTTATGTCAAGGATTTAAATCGATTTTGAAAATAAAAAATGTAAGGGAAAAGGCAACAAGGATTTGAGTCTTAACAGAAGTTAATACGGAATAAGAACTATCAAACACGAAGCACCTAGTGTTCCCGATACCCTCGCCACCATGTTCTATTCTCTGTCACCCGCGCAACACATGGTATAAACTACGTATTCCAATTTACTTCACGAGGACCGTTATGCAACAACCATCGACTACTCAATTACCTACTCTGACCCATCTCTTTTGATGTCGAATCCCATAAAACATCCGGTTCGCACCTTGCAATGTAATCCAATGAATGGCTCCTGCCAGAACAGGAAAAATCTCCCTACAGCTGCCCTCATCGTCAGCAGCACTATTTCTGGAGCCACTTATTTCCTGCAATACATTGTATTATAAAATATTCCTTGCATGCTGATTTGTACCTCCTGGAAATTCCATGTCCTGTTGTATAGTCAATATATGGCCGCCACAATTAATGCTCCTAAACGTGACAGCCCTGTAATTCCATATTTTATGCCAGTAGAGCTATAACATTCATAACGTCAATAACGATGTACATAAACGTCACTATGTATTCAGAATTTTGTAAAACTGCCTGTCCTTTCATAAAAAGGTTTTTGGGTTATATCGCGTAAGAATAAATGTGTCGAAACCCTCCACCACCCGACCACGGTCAATCAGTAAGGGATTTGTCACGTAAACGAAATGCCAAACAGTTACCACTTGAGCCCACTGGTGTGTTGAAGAGTGAATCCACAACATTTACAATCTGAGTACGACGTTTCGCTGGTAATTTCATCCAGCATCATCGGGCGATTTGCCAGAATAGTGAAGCCATCCATCTGCTTCCGGTCTTAAATGGACGACGTCATCGCTGAACCCAATCAGTGATGACGTACGTTTCGCTGGTAATTACATCCATTGTCTCGTCGTTGCTGTCGTCTCGTTGCCTTCGTCGCTGCCGTCTTCACTCGATATTGCGCTGCTAGATAGCCTGTTAGCTGTCTCGGTCAGCACCGCCGATGTTAGACAGCGTGTGATGTGTATAAGCTAGCGACTGTAGAGTGTGCAGGTGAGATCGTGTGTGTTCAATAAAGAAGTTGCCTCTACAAGCCTCGTCTCTGACTCACTGACACTACACACATATACAAATAATTATTTCTGCTAACAAGCTTTATTGTTCCGTATACACTGTATAAAAAGCAAATCATCCTTGGTGATGCATAACTGTAAACCAGATATTTGAAGGACTACATAGATATCTGAAACTTGTAAATCCACAAGTCTGAGAGATGGCTAGGAGATGGTAGTGTAGAATTTGAGAACCTGACTCATCTGTGCAAATGTTTGAGCGTTTTACATGTGCATGCATGGCACTGCAATTTTCTTCCACATGCACAAAACTCTTTAAAAACGAAATTCCAATCCTTCCATTGCCGGACCCTCGTGACAGTCTTAATAGTGAGGATTTCCTGGATAAATTACTAGACAGGCAGTCTGCAACATGAAGGGCTCATCAGCATATTACACCAGACTCTAAACTAAGAAGAAATTGCCATTCCGGAAAGTTATCAGCAAGTGAACTTAACAAAAACATTTTTATAACCTCACTGGAGTAGCATAGCACTATGGTTATGTATAGACAAACATAGGTATGCTGTAATACAGGAGTATAGTTATACATTCACACCACTTACATGGTGTAGTGCATGATGGAGCTGCAGTCGTATGGCGTTACTAAATCATGTGGAGTTGATTTTATCTTCACAACGTCACCCTTCCACTCTGTAAATGACAAGAAAGTAATAGTCAAGTTCAGCCCTTAATTACTCCACCCTCCCCACACCAGCCAGGAACAGGATGGATTCAGATATTACTCTTCTGTAGCCAGTAATCTAACTTTGCAGTCAAGTAGCCACTGCCACTTCACTCAACAGAATGCAGTTCTGTAAAGTATTTTAAGATATATATTTTTGTAATGTCAATCTCTTACAAGCAATTACAGTAATAGAATAAATTCTGATTTTGTTTTCAATGTTTGTAGTCGATAAGTTCACATTACTACTATAAAAGCCTAGAAATGTGTGTAACGCGCGTGACATCACTCCACATGCCGTCAAGAATAATAAAATAATCATAAGCGAGTAGATTTTTACACTCGCGCGGAAGAAGGTCGAGCGGAAAAATATTTTTTTCGAAAAGTCACTTCAAATATGACGTTTCTTTACAGAACGTCAAAATATATATACGCAGCACAGTACTAAATCCGTGCGTGACGTCACTACAAAAGAGACCGCCCCCCTCATTAATAATCATGAGTGGGTGGATTTTTACATTCCCGCAGGTCGATCGGAAATTAAAAAAAAATGCAAATTCGCTTTAAATTTGACGTTTCTTTATTGAAATGTGATCAAATCAATATTTCTACGCAGCAACAAAGTGTGTTTAGTGTCTTTATTTCTTCAGCACTTGAATCAAAAGGTAAGTGTAATTTTTGCTTCTAAATTATGATAAAAGTAGTCTATAGCCCGTCCAAGGACGGGTGTATTGCAGTTAATCTGAAATATTCAATCGAAAAAAATGACTCGATCATGATTATTAATGAGGGGGTGGGGCCGGGGTCCACATAGAGTGACGCCATCATACCATGATTATTGATGAAGGGGGGAGCTTCATGTGGAGTGACGTCAACTGCTCATGATTATTAATGAGGGGGTGTGTCCCGCGCGTGACACCACTCCACATGCCGCACCCCCCCGTCATTAAGGTCGAGCGGAAATAAAAAAAACATTTCGCAAATTCGCTTTAAGTTTCACGTTTCTTTATTGAAAGTGAATCTAATAAATAATTCTACGCAGTAACAAAGTGGATTTGGGGTCTTTATTTATTTCTTCAGCACTTGAGACAAAAGATAATCTAATTTATGCTTCTACATTTTGGTTAAATAGACGTTTCTCGGTGATTTTCCAGATATTGTATTGCAATCCAATTTATTTTAACCCCAGCGACCGAAAGCAGAAGGGAATAAAGTATCAGAGCAATGAATTTGAACAAATTGAAGGTCAGTTATATACAGTGCTACAGTGAAATGCAGTGAAGTGTTTTATGAAACTTTTGTGCAAGATTCACTGCCGTTAAATGTACACAAGATACAATTATACTCTGCTCATTTTTTTCGTACATATTACAGCTTCCGTCCTAGGACGGGCAAAGAAGCTAGTTACATAATAAGTGTGTGATGTTTCCATTACCTACGAAACACCTCGAACTGTATTCTGTAGTTTTAAAGTTTATTTAATAATCCTTTATAATGAAATGTTTACAATTATATTTTCCGCAGCACACACTTGTATTAATATATGGTGTAAAACTGTAACTATGTCCTCCACAGCAAGGATTTGCAAGAGATGCTAGCATTACTCACTGCCATCGCACAAACACGTGATGGTGAGATAGCAGAAACTAAAATACAAATGATCTCAACAATCCTTATAAGTAAAGCTTTTCAATTAAAAGTAATACACATTTTTATACAGGATCTCGATCTCAAACTTCTGTAAAAATATAACTTGGAATTGGAAGACGCAAACTTTAAGTATAATTTTATAATTAATGTAATAAAAATGTGTCGAAATTGAGGTATACCAACACGTATTTTGCATTTGACTCTGGCTTATAATATCCAGTGCCAGGCATTAAGTTAAGGCCATCCACATAAATAAAACACATGATAGTACGTGCAACCAAAAATATACAGGACATTGAACGATTGTTTGTACATCGTGAAGTTGTGGACAGGAAGCTAGAAAATAATGTAAGCGTATCTGCTTATTTAAGTGTCCTTTTTCCCTATAACTGATTTAATATATTCACTTTCTTTCCATCCATAACTATTAATGCATCAGCTCTGTCTATCGGTCTGTCTGCATGCATGTGAATAGAGAGGGGGGTCACGATATCCCAAAAAAATATAATCTAGTAGGAATTAAATTGTGTTGTAAAGTTGCATTTCATAGACTTCACACTTAGCCTATAAAAAAACAAACAAATGTATCAAAGGGTTGGCCAAAAATCGGCAAAATAGACCCAGCATTAATTAAAGATGCCTGTTGGTCCATTCCAATGATATCACACGCCATGCGAGTGCATAGCATGTATGGTTATCTCGCAACTTCATGACAAGCGTACCTTTTAAGAAAAGTACTCGAGAGAAAACCGAGCAAGCTGATCGTTGAATTATCCAAAGTTGACAATCTTTATGACATCACACGTCATACGTTCGCTTCCCATCCTGATGACGTATTTACGTGTAATGTAAAAAATGTGTATTAATGTATGTATGTTGAATTTATTTTGCACCGTACATAGCGAACTATGCTAATCAGAGGTATGGGAGAAGGACAATGTATTAACTTTGTATTTAAACGCAGCTGAAGCCTAATGCCCCCAGCAGCAGGACTGCCTCATCTAGTTTCTCTGCCTTGGTCACCAGGACTACACAGGCAAGGGTATCAAAGTGAGATCGGGGAGGGACGAGTCACTCATCATCAGCCATAATATATCCACTACCGGATGAATACCAACATGCATTTGTTTTTTTAGTTGTTTGATCCATGTGTTTCAGTTTCTCTCAATGCAATTCAAAAACGCAATTCTCCACGCCTCTTGGACACTTCAAATGCTTTGTTACAATTTGTAACGCTTTCCAACAAGGGCTCTACCTAGTACAAATAGTACCACTTCTGTGAGTGAAGCCAATTATCCATAATGAATATATCAAAGTCATTGTTTCACTGATATCACCAGCATCAGAATAGATCTGATTGGGTCATACACAGTAGTAGCAATTTCAACTGTAAATTGTAGATTTCTTTGTCTGAGAACCCCCTATTTATGGGAAGATAAATAAGCAGACTGTCTTCATATATCCATCTAAAAATAAAAATACATATTTATTATACAATCCACTATCTGCACGACCTTCTCTGAGTGAATACATTTATTTTAGCAGCATTGTTTTCAGCAGCATTGTTGCAGGACTAGAACACTCTGGACTGGTATCACTTGCACTCCCAAAAGGCCGTGAAAATTGAGGGCCATCGGAGGGCACTTAATGAGGGGGAACGTGTGAGGCAGAGGATTTGAGTTGATTGGAGTGAAGACAAGAGAGAATTCAAGAGAAGTCCGGGAACCCCGCTCTCCACACCTCGTCCTCTCCAGCGGTGATGGCTGATCCCCCGCTGGAGGCACGGCCGAGGATGGAGGAGTGAGGGTAGACATGCCAGCAGTAGAAAGGCTAGCAGAATCCTAAGTGTGAGTGTGGTAAGGCTAGCAGTAGAGAAGCTAGCAGAAAGTATAGTAAGAGACTAGCAGTAGAGAAACTAGCAGAGAGTATAGTAAGAGGCTAGCAGTAGAGAAGCTAGCAGAGTGTATAGCAAGAGGCTAGCAGTGGAGAAGCTAGCAGAGTGTACGGTGAGAGCCTAGCAGTGAAGCTAGCAGAGTGTACTGTGACAGACTAGTAGCAGAGAGGCTAGCGGAGCAAGAGAGCGAGTGGAGCGTAGCAGATGAGGAGTACAAGCGGCAGTTTTGCGACATAGATACGTGGTGTTGAACGCGAGGAGTTCTGCACGAATAAAGTGACATTGGAGAAAAATAAGTTGTCTGCGTGAAACAACAACAACAACCGCCATTCGCCACTAAGTGGCGGTGACGTCACCACGGCGCTTGTGCCAGGCTATGTGCACCCTGAGGCCACGTGAAGTGTCGAACGCCCGCTGGCAGGAGGTCACGGGGCAGACCCAGGTGCCACGGGTCGACTGACTGAGATGACTGGCTGATGCACCACCTGTGCCCCCTACTGTGCCAACCTGCTGTGCTTTAGCCACCCGGCGCTCCGCTCGTTGTTGTGAGCGTCGCTCCTCCGCCCTCCGTTGTTGTTGGAGGGCGACTACCTCCAACTGCCCAGTAGCATCCTTCACGAGCCTCCTCCACAGAGGTCGATCTTGACACCGCTGGTACCAGTCATCGGCAAGTCCACTCAGCTCCACGTCCTCCTGTACCACATCACTCCATCTCTTCTCTAGCCCGTGCCGCGCCCGCTTAGCCCCCTCAATCTGGCCGAACAAAAGCTGTTTCGGCATGCGTTGGCTGGGCATGCAGGCTACATGACCCAGCCATCGCAGCCTTGCCCGCCGGAGGAGCTCACCGATGGGACCTTGCCCAGATCTTTCAAGGATTTGTGAGCTCCTCACACAATCCAGTCTGGTTAAACCCAGGATGGATCGTAGGCAGGCCAGCCTAAATGTTTTTAACCGGCGAAGATGTTCCATTAGGGGGTCCACGTTTCGCAAGCGTAGAGAAGGGAGGGAATGACCGTGACCGAGAAGACCTGAAGCTTAGTGCGGAGCGACAGACCAGGTAGCTTCCACATAGCGTTACGCAACCGATGAAAAGATATTGCCGCTCGACTGATTCGGAGTGAGACCTCTGCTGTTAAACTGGAGCCAGTCATAAGCACACTACCCAGGTATGGGAAACTCTCCACTCTCTCCACAACTGCCCCATCACCGATTGGGAGTTGTGGGGGTGGAATGTCCGATGGTACAAAATACCCAGGCAGGTGCTTAGTTTTGGTGGGGCTGATGGTAAGGCCCCACCTCTTAGTGGCACGCTCCAGTCTCAGCAGCAGCGTCTGCAACCCCTCCTCTGACTGAGCAGCTATTACCAAATCATCAGCATACATAACATGGTTGACCAATAGGGAGCCATCCCTTGACCGCACCCGGGCATCGATCAGCCTCCCATTATATCTGTACCATATGGAGATTCCCCCGGTACAGCTATTGAAGGCTTCACGAACTACGTGGTCAAAATAGATGTTAAATAATGTGGGAGCCAGAGGACATCCCTGTCGCACCCCAAGGTGTACAGGGAATGGCTCTGACTCCCGGCCACGTAGTTTTACCTGGGCCCGCTCACCGTCATGAAGGTCCTTAATGATCGTGAGCAGAGGGTCAGGTACTCCAAAAGCACGAAGAACGACCCAGAGCCCAGGCCTACTGATGGTATCATAGGCCTTGACCAGGTCAATAAAGCAGAGATGTAGGTCTTGTTGGAATTCCCTACACCTCTGCTGTAGCAGACGGACAGAAAAAGTGGCATCTGTGCAGGACCGCCCTTTCCTGAAACTGCATTGGGGCTCCGCAAGCCTCTCCTCAGCGTGCCTGGCAAGGCCATGCTGAATAATCCTTGCCAGGACCTTTCCCGGCACACTGAGGAGTGAGATGCCGCTGTAGTTGTTACAGTCTGTGCGGTCCCCCTTCTTAAAGAGGGGGACCACCAGGGCATCCTTCCAATCCTGCAGAACCCGTCCAGCGGCCCAGACCGCTGTTATGATGTCATATAGGGCAGTCTGTGCACAAACGCCACCCTCCCTCAGCATTTCGCTTGGGAGATCATCTCTGCCCGCTGCCTTTCCTGGTCTCAGACTCCGGATCGCCTTCAGTACTTCCTCAACAGATGGAACCTCAGCCAGCCACTCACAGGGGGTGACTTCTTCCAATATTTGAGGCACCGCAGCCTCAGCAGGGTCATCCTCACTTTGTGCCACGATGTTTTCCTGGCTGAGGGATTTTCCCTCCCCCAGGACCTCACAGAAATGCTCAGCAAATCTGCAAACCTGTTCCTGGGGGTCGGAGATTGGATCACCGTTTTTTTCCCCTAATGATGGTAATAGGTGTGGCGCTGCAGGTTACTTTTTTGATGGAGTTAAATAGAGATTTGTGATTACGGGCCACTGAGGCAGACTCCATCTCCTCAGCAACCCGCGACCACCACCCATCCTTGCAGCGCCTCACAGCTCTCCGAACCTCCGAGCGAAGGCTGCGGTAAGCCTCCTCATTCTCTGATGTGGGATTCTGTAGCCGATGACAGTGGGCCTGTCGCTTTTTCTCAACCATCCTGAACACCTCCTCTGTCAGCCAGGGTCTCTGGGGAGGTCTGGACCGCGTACCCAAAGCAGCCATTGCAGCTGCATGAGTCACAGTCCTAAACCTCGCCCATTTACCCTCGACATCAGGAGGAGTCGGGGACGATGCCAATCCCAGCCGCAAGCGATGATGAAATTCTCGCTTGCAACTTTCATCAGATAACTGAGACCAGGCCACTTTAGGTCGGAATGGGGTCCTGGGTGTACACCCACCACCGGAGTGGAAGAATGGCAGGCGCATCTTACAGATGACTAGTCGATGGTCAGAGGGCAGATCAGCTCCACGGCAGGTCCTGGTGTCAAGGACATAGGCTCGCATCTGCTGGTCCGTCACTATGTAGTCCAGCAGATGTTCTTGCTTCGACCCTGCATGCATCCATGATGTTGTGTGGATGCGCCGATGCCGGAACAGCGTGTTGGTAATTACAAGCCCATGGGCTGCGTGAAATAACACCACTACACATGCATACCCTCAGTGCACGCATCTTCCTTTGAACGCCAAACATGTAAAAATATTCATAATAAAGGTTTTTGGTATAGATCGCGTTATTTATAAATGTGTCGTAACCCTCCACCACCCGACATGGCCAAACAGTAAAAAATGTGTCACGATTACAAAGGACAAATAGTTCACTACTTCAGCCCACCGGTGTGTTGAAGAGTGAATCAACATAGTTTAAAATTTGAGTACGACGTTTCGCTGGTAATTACATCCAGCATCATCGGGCAATTCACCAGAATGGTAAAGCCCTCACTTGCTCCCGGTCTTAAATAGAGCAGCAGGGTGACGTCATCATTTAACTCATTCCGGTGCAGTGATTTGAGGCAGAGGGGGGGGGGGTATTGTAATTATATAATCGATTGGTAATCAGTCAATGGTTATGATGAGTAATGAGTTGTATATTAGTAATTAGTTGTAGTGTGTGTTATTATGATTATATGCTACATTAGTAATCCGTTAATTAGTATGTGTTTCCCCTATAAGGAATTGTAATATGTATTATTTAATAATATGCTTCCAAGCCACACTAAGCCTGTAGCTGTCAGACTGATTGAAGTTATTTCTATTTCTCTCAATTTCAATGGATCCTCTAATTAGTCTTTGCCAGTAATACTTAGTTTTACACGACACTTCAACGTTATCAAAATCAATTGAGTGTCCTTGTTGACAAGCATATTCTGCCACTGCCAACAGTTGTGTTTGAGATAATTTAATATATCTTTGGTGTTCTTTTAGTCTTATGCTGATGTTACATCCCGTCTGTCCAATTTAGCATCTGCCACATAAACAATTAATCCGATATACACCTTCTGTTGATAATTTAGGCAATTCGTCTTTAGTGCAAGATACTAGGTTTTGAATTTTGTGTACTGTACCAAATCTTACTGTAATGTATTTCTTTTGCAAAACACGGGCTAATTTGTCAGTTACTCCTGAGATATATGGAATTTTAATTGTTTTAACAATCTGATCGCTTTCTGCAGTGTTGCTTTGCGATTGTGATTTGGCATTCAGTGCTCTGTTAATTTGAGTATTATTGTAGCCATTCTGTCATAATGCCAATTTTAAAAAATGAGATTGAGGGAACTGGGCCCAGTGGGAAATAAAACAGCATTACTAAGACAATCATCAATTAATGGCCTAGATTGACATCTTGTTTTAAATTGTGCTCTATAATATCATGTGCTTTCATCTGGAAAATGTATGTAAAATTTTAATTTAGTTTTTCAAATAATATATTGTTTCATTTTCACCCCATTTATTTAAATAATGCTGTTACACGTGACTCCAGTTATACAGCAAGAAATAAAAATGTCCTCGAGTGGAGACAACTTCCTTCTCCAACACGTGCAGGGCAGCTAGTCCACACTTTACAGCTGGAGATAATGTTCAACAGCCTCTTGCTCTCCTCCTCATTCACACAGCGGGCTGATACAGGCCCCATCAGTGTTTCCTAAGCTGCACAGACTCCGTTGTCACAGTAGAAGAGCAGTTCAGCTGGACCTGCCGACACGTTGGGAGGTTGTAGGTGGGCATCTTCATGGACTAAGGATGAGGTCCTTATCATGCACATCCACGTGTCTCTATTTCTCGGCCAAAGCAGTGCAGACGTCCTGCATCCTTAGTTCTCTGGGCTGTGGTTTTACCCAAACTGTAAGTTGGGACTTCAGACACACGGGCAGAGGCATGAAGATGAGGGATAGCTCCAGTGCTGCATTTCCCTTGTCCAGCATCTTGGTAACTGCAGCTTGGCAGCACATTTTTGGTGGGGAGATGCAGCATAAAACTTATGAAACTAGTAAAACTTCACCCCCATTACTGTACCTTTATGTAAAACTCACCATCTTTCACGTTCTCTGACACCACCCAGACGTGGTCGTCACGGTCGCTGCGGCAGTGCTCGTGGTGGAAGCCGAGCGCGTGCATCAACTCGTGCAGAACGACGCCCTTGGTCACCTTGCCAGGCTCCAGGGAGAGCGCCTGGTCCCCGCCCTGACGGCCCAGGAACGACCAGTTCCTACTGGGAAACCTATATATGATTGGATAATCAGGATTTAAAATGAACAAGTGCAACTATTAATTATTTTTTAAAAATAGTAATATTCGTATGCATCATCAGCCATTGTTTATCCATTGTTGGATTAAGGTCTCCTGAAGAAATCACCATCTCTTGTGGTCTTGCAATGCAGCAAACGATCTAGCTCCGGAATACGAGCTGATCTCATTACTCAAACTGTACTTGAGATGTCCTCTTTGGCATGTTGCCTCCTTTGTCTGCCATTGGTTTCGACCACCAAGAATTATCCGTTATAGTTACAGTGAGGGAAAAAAGTATTTGATCCCCTGCTGATTTTGTACGTTTGCCCACTGACAAAGAAATTATCAGTCTATCATTTTAATGGTAGGTTTATTTGAACAGTGAGAGGCAGAATAACAAAAAAATACAGAAAAACGCATGTCAAAAATGTCACATTCTGGCATGCTGCGGTTAGTTCCTCTGATCACAACTCTTTGATCACTTGTAATAACAAACTCATTTTGAGATGGGAATTCACTGACTGATACTTTGTCCAAGATGAAGGTAAAGAGCTCCTGCTTGTTTTCTGGATTACGTAGCACATCTTGCCACATCCCAGGAATTTTTTTCTGACTGGCAATCTTTCTCCTTATGCCTTTGCGTCTCTTTTCTCTTGTAGATTATTTGATTATGCTTGTGAGTTAGGTGTCCCAAACGACATCCACTCTTTTGGCACTTCCCAGCTGGTTCATGATGTAGGGAATAAAGACGTCATTGGCATAGTCTCCTAAGGTTGTGATACTGCTTGCGGAGAGGTGCAAGACAGCAGCACCATATAGAACTTTCATGTCACATGTGTTTTGAGGCGCTGTCTGAGATGTTTGTTCAAGACAAGCTAACAGATCAGGAGTAACATTTAGAACTGTGATGTCGATGGAGCTTGTCGTCTCTGTCTCAGTAGTTTGTTCCAGACATGCTACCAGGTCAGTATCATCATCTGGAACTTGCATTGGAGCCTCTGTCTGAGTTGTTTCCACCAGACACGTTCGTAGGTCAGACTTCTTTCCCAGACACAGACTGCTTCTCTCAGAGAGAAAAAAGTACCCATGTCTGTTTCCCTGAGCTGTGCCACAACATAGAGATGGGAGAAAAGGTTCACATCAGTCTTCAAAGTTGTGATCTTGTCAACTTGTTTGGTTGTGAGTGTGGGCTCAGGACATTTGAAGAGTCGTAGGGAGTTCTTATTGATTGGGTCATGAATAGACCGAGTGCAGTCAATGAGCACTTACTTGTGGTAGTCATCGACTGCACTCAGTCTATTCTTGCTAAGTGTTCCTACATTGCGGGTAATATTATTCACAGATTCATCAGAACATCGCAAGTATCCAAAGTTAGCAGCTCTGCAGTGTCATTCAGGAAAGGATCGCCCATTTCACTGCCGGTCTCTGCCAGACTCAGGGGATGCTGTCTGAAGTTATTTTTAGTAGACAAGCCCTCCTCATGGTGGGGGTGCTTTTCATTTTTTCTAAAAAGTATTCCTCAAACTCATTCAGCATTCCTCCTTGCTCAGGTCTTACAAGCATCCACTTTCGGAAGGCTGATGGGTTTTCCCTAATTCCTACTGCACCCCCAGAGCCTTTCACTATGTCATTATTCTGCTCATGGGCCTGATCGATAGGTGTGGCTGAGAATTGTTACTGGATGGAATGAGGTAGGATTTCCACGTCTCCAATGTGAATAGGGATCCAACGAGCATACTTCTGGTGATCCAGTGCAAAGAACCAAAGAACCAGGGCTTTCAATTATTTCACATACATTTGGAAGTTTGCTTCACGGTGAGCTCTGATAAAGATCAGACCCAGAAGCACTAGGCTGAGAATTATATCTCAAGACTGGAATGTTGTGCTCTTGCTGCTCATGTCGTCTCCAAACCTCTTTTACTTCATCAGTGTGGGGCTGCTACGTGCAAGAAAAGGCATCCTGCTGGAGCTTGGCCAAGGCCAAAGTACTAATTTGGTGTGCTTGCCTTTTTCTGGTGAGATGGGAGCTGCGATGAAATTAATCTGTTGTGCCTGAGGAGGCAATGCCTGCCTGTGTTAGTGCAGTGGTCCAACCGGAGTCCTCCAGGTAGTCTCCAACTGTATTCCACATGGCCATTTCAATGTGGAGACCACCAAACATTATGACATACTTGTTCTCTCCATGTGTCTGAGGCAAATTCCATTGAATGTACTTTGCTAGGGCATACAGCGGAGCATCCATGGCCATTACAGGAATTTGGCCAGGGTTACCGAATTATATGGCTTGGTGCTGAACATCCATGCCATGCTTGCTCATGGTGGCTGTTGCTGCATTTTCATAGAAGTGGCAAGAATTGTGTGAGAGCTGCTTTCTTATCTTCTAAGTTGGAGTCATTTTGCAGAGATGAATGGTAGGCTAACCATACTACATTGTCGCCTTTTTCCAATTTTTTTTTCTTGATAAGGTCGAGTGCCCTCGCCAACCAAAGTTTTTCCTGCGTCTTTGCTACCAATGTCTACACCAATTGTCTCTTGCATTGACAAGCTCCTGCACTGCTACTGTGGTTTCCTTGAGAGCAACAGCTGGCACTGTAGTAAAACTATCAGGCAATGAATGGCACTTCTTTGTGTCTGCAGAAGTAAGTCTAATTGCCTCTCGGCAATATCCCATGTTTGACTTAATTGGAGACTGAAAGAGGCTAATGCCTTTGCAATGGAATGAAACTTTAGCCGTAGTGCCTCCACTTACCTCACTTGACGCTTAGACCCCATGATCAAAATAAAAAACACGAATAAGGCAAAAATAGCACGAAAGGCAACGACACTTGAAGAGTTGAAGCTTCAGCATCTGGATCGCGGTACACGGACCACAATCCACGACTGTGCTGTGCAAGTACAGTAACCCCCCCCCCCCCATGGTGCGATGTTGCCAAATCGTGAATAGTCTAAGGCAGGGGTGGGGAACCTTTTTTCTGCCAAGGGCCATTTGGATATTTATAACATCATTCGTGGGCCATACAAAATTATCAACTTAAAAATTTGCCTGTTATATTTGGTCAAACATTTAATTAACTCACCCCTAATGTTATGGCTGGAACTGCTTCTCTTTAGTGAGGCATGTGATGTTAGCTGGTATTGATGATGTTGCTACTCGCAACTGCTTTTCCAGGTTTGCACCTAGATTTATTGAATTTCGAGTCCCGTCTGCGGTTGCCTTGGCAGGGCCAGACCAAATGATTTTGCGGGCCTTATACGGCCCGCAGGACGGATGTTTCCCACCCCTGCCGTAGTGCTTTAAGGGTTGGGATCCAGGTTGTCCAAGGCACCAAAAGAGAAGAGACCATGACATAGCTGAGAATGGCACACTTGTATATATAGGCCTTTTTCCAAAATTGATATTAATAATAAAATTTGACGATACTTTTTTAAATAGCAACCGAAATAAATAAATAAACCCCCGCTACCTCATCTCAGCTACCAGCAGCTGGAGGTCGTAAAAAAGGCCATTAAAAAAATTCCGTGGTCCTCCCCTCACACAGGGCGCCAGGAGATGAACCATAAAAGCTAATAAACCAAGTCAAAAGGAGACGGGGGGGGGAAACACTCAAAGGGAATTCCAGGCTTCAGGGACCCCCCCCCCCCTTCCGTCAGCCCGCAAACAGTGTGACGTCACACACACGAGAGATTTAAACAATTTTCCTCTTCTTTGCTATTAAAACAACGGTTAAAGTTCAGAACTCAACTACAAGGATAAGCTAACATTATCAATCCTCACACTCACTCCAACTAAAAACCAGGCCACAATCTACATCAGTGAATCATTACCCATTTATTAATTCGATACTAAATGTTATTTTCACCTTTCATAATTTTCTACACGACCTGACCGAAGCATCAAGAATAGGTCTGGCAGTCAGAGTTATACCTAAGTCAAAACGAATTATCTAACCTCAGGGCATCAGGAATAAAATAAAATAACTTATAACTCAAACATAATAACATGTGGACCCACGGATACAGGCGAGGAGCAAAAGTTAATACAATGTTAAATCACAAATCTTGGGGAACATAAACAATAATAATGATGCAGTGTTAAATCAAGGGTTGTCCAGAATAGATGAGGCAAACGGGTCAAGCTTATGAGCATCCAGGATAAACTGTCTTCCAGAGAGACCCCGGCCACCTTTGTCTTCCCGCAGCGCGGGAGAGCAGGAATTAAAAGCAAAGCGAAGGAATCACTCTTTATCGCGAGGGCCATCTGTGCTACGGAGGCGCTGGACTTAATGATACACACACGGACTACACCCTCCCCCCCCCCCACAACGCAGAGTGAGCATCTGTTTTTTTCCTCTCGCAAGAGACGCGCAGAGGGGGGAGATTTTTCCGGATAAAACAGCAGCACGACACACACAACAGAGCTCTCGACAGTTCAACAAGGATAGCTCGGCGAGCGCCAGAAGAGGGCGGTGAGCGGCAGGCTCCAAGGGGCCCCGCGATCAACCGAGGATGGCGAGGCTGGCAGAGTAACGATGTGCCACCGAGTGTGAGTTCAGAGCTGAAAGACGAAGTATCGCTCAAAGACTTTTATTCTACATCAAGTGCCAGCTGCCAGCACCAAGCGTTGTGCCGACTTGGCTCATCCCTGAGCAAAAGAGCCTGACCAGCCGCCCGTGAGCAAAAGAGTCAGCGAACCAGCAAAGAGCGCGTTCGAGCATCTCCACAGAGAGAGCGCGTGCGGCGCAGCTACTACAGCAGTGTAAGGAGCCTGCTGCTGTCAGCGAACCAGCGGTGAGCGCGTTCGAGCACCTCCACAGAGAAAGCACGTACAGCGCAGTCCTCCAGCAGCGGAAAGAGCCTGTATCTGCCAGCACGAGCAGCCAAGCCAACGCCCCGAGCAAGAGAACTAAGCAGTTCGTATCACCCTCCCCCAAACTCACACCCTCACGACGCATCACCCGGCGTCTGCTTCACGAAGACACACAACATGCATAT